CTCCTGGAAAGTTCAACCAAGGTGCATACTTCCTTCCTTATTAGCAAGGCAGAGTAGGAATTGGAATATGATCCTTTCTTAAGCAAAACTACAGGAAAAATTCCCGGGAGTGGTGGGCATTTGCACAGAGAGATCTTCAGAGAGAGCCTCATGGGGGAACATGGCTGGTTTGCTATTTCTTCAGCTTTTGCTAACGTTGGCATAATGACCCCATTTTACAAATCCTACTGTATCCTTGGGATGACTGTATACGATGAATACAAACTTAACTGTTCCAGACATATATATTTCAAAGTGCATGATAGCTCTTGCTTGAAAATGGTACTTATAGCCTTAGGATGAAGAAATTAAGATGCATCTGTTTAGCTGTTTCACAGCCTTCTGTCTTTTTACAGGAAGAACATACTTAGAGCCTACACAATTAAAAGATACCCTGGGAAGGGATTTAGGAAGCACTGCATTACGGTATTTTTCCTCCCTGGTGCTACTAAAGAACTGATCTTTCTGTCTCTAAACAAGTGATTTCTCTAATGTCAAGCAGTTGTCTGATTTGCCTTAGCACTTAATATTTTCATAAATTTATTCATTGTGAAATATTGAAAGGCTCATTCTACAGACTGGTTCTGAAGATACCTCCATGTCTCAATGAGGAATTAAAAGCCATATACTATATAACATTTCTTTTTTTTCTTGATAAGGGACTTCAAGTGTCTCATTCCAGATCTGCAGAGCCAGGTGAGCTGCATGAAATCAGTACATATATTACAGTACTACTTTTTATTCATCAATAAATAATTCTTCACCCTCACCTGCCACACTGCATGTCCCCTTTGTGGAGAGGTATGAAAGGTGATCTGTTTTTAGAAGATTCTGTATTAAGTCTTACCAAAGTTGTTTTAGAAGGTATTTTCTTAGACACATGCAAGGACCAGATCAATGAAAAGTTCTGTACATTCTCTGAGGCATATATTCCCACCCGTGTTGTAGTTTGCAGGTTCTGTAGAAAAATCCAATTAGCAACTGCAGATTTCACATTGGGAAAAAATAAATACATTTCACTCATTTTAAAAAAATGATCACAGTAGGAAAACAGCCAGTAAACAATAGATTCAGAGGGGGTTAATCTTGGCCCCAGTGAGATCAATGGGAGTTTTGCCAAGGATTTCAACAAAACCAAAATTTCACCCAGAATCGTGTACAGTTCTTTAGCTGACAACAATTATAAACATCCTGCCACTCCATTGTATAAGTTAAATATGAATAAGCATCTGTAAACATCCTGCAATTCATCTGATATAAAAATAATATAATAAAACCACTGCAGCATCTCAAGCATTGTATAGTATTAAGGGGTTTTTGGCTTTACACACAAGCTGGCATCATACTGGGCAGAAACTGGGTATGTATATACATATGTATGTACAGGTGTGCACGCACACACACTACAAACTAGATACTACATAACTATACACATGCACACACAAATACTGGCAAGAGAACATTCATAAGTATGGTATTTAAAAACCTTATGATCAGTCTGATGATAACTTTTATGTGAGGAGCAATTTCTACCTACCCAAATCCTCTGTAGGCTTACACATAAATGCTAAAACTGAAGTACATGAGCAATCTCCAAGGGAGGCTGAAGTGCTGTTTAAAGCTAAGCACATGTCTAAGCCCCAGCAGATCTATGTTTGCAAAGATGATGAATTTTTCCCATGAACAGGACCAAGTTCTGTTATTAAGAACTGTGAATTAAGACAGGAAACTGCTAGGATTAGATGTCATCAAATGATTTGTGTGGGATGACTGCAAAGATCTCAGGTGCAGAGATCAGGCCCTCTTCATCTCTCAGAAGCTCCTCAATGGCTTGTACTCTTGATGTTCAAATCCCATCTGTTGCACATTTTATCTTCTGCTATGAATATTATCCTGCCCTTTGATGATCTACCCCCCCAACATAGAACCTGCAGTAAACTAAATGACTAGGTAACTGTCAGCTCTAGGAGGCCCCATGATTCAGCTCTTCAAGGATTTAGAGGGCATGATGTAAGAGAGTGGCTAATGAAACAAAATATTTCAGGACAGCTTCACAAGCTCTGCTTCTTGAGGGGAAAAATGGTAATTTTTGTCACATATGGATGACTGCATTTGTCAAACCGCACATTTTAAGGAGACAGAAATCCAGGACAGAAAGCACAGACACAAGTGACAGATGCCTGGAGAAAATCCTCTGAAATCTGGCTAAGCGCTACAGTCCAAATGCCTCTTTTAATACGTAGAGATGGCATCTTGTGAGAGGACAGTGCCACTAGAAACCTTCACAGCAAGCATGTGTGCTTGCTGTAAACCAACACAAACTGTCCAAGTAGAAAATCTTACATACTTAAAATTCTCATTAAGGACACCCAGGCCCAACTTAACAGCATATGTGTGCTCTCCCTTCCTGAAAAGCAAGAACAAGCAGCTTGGAATGGCTTCCCTCAACCTCCCTATTCACAGAATAATTGACTGTAACTGCAAAGGGAATCAGTCCCAGTTTACTTCAACAAAGGCAGGGAGAAAACCATACTAATATCTGTGTATCGTATGCGTATCTATGTATTGTATATATAATATGATAGTAATAGCTCTTTCCCTGTTAATGACATGTTAACTTGAGGTTATTAATTAAACTTAAAAGTTTTCTATCCAATTAACACTTTAGTTTAATAAAAGTAGAACTTAAAATACTAATTCACTTTAAATGTTCATAGTGGTGATTTGGTGCACTGTGGGGATTTTATTTTTGGCTTTTCACATGGTTTTCATTATGAAAACAAACTAGCAAATTTTACTACCTGCTGGTTCATTTCTTCCTGGTTTCATCTTCCAGTTCACACACTCTAGTGTAACATAGCTATACATGGATCAAACCCAGCTGCCTAAAAGAATTGTTTCCAATGAATTTGGAAAAATAAAAAAAATCAAATTACTTTAAGGTTTACTTTTACCTTCAGTTTCTTTTCAGTTCTAACACTAATCTTTCAATCATACTACAAATACATTTTCCCAAAGTGTTTGTTCTATACAATAAAATAAATGTAAGTCACTTGCATATTTGTCCTACTAATAGCTACCATAATTTATAGTATTTTCAGAAGCTTTACACACCTGGTTTAGTTAGCCAAAACACTTCTCTTCCAAAGGGCATTCCAGTAGCTGGTGTTAACTGTTAGTGGTATGGCAAGCTAAATACAGTTTTCAGCGGGTAATGCAAGAGTGTAACTTAAAGGATTTTAGTCCACTATGGCTAAGCTTGACCTTGGAGCCCAAAGCCCCGGTCAATCTAGATCTCCTGGAGCATCCTCCAGCTTTTCCTAGCCTGCTTGTCCAGTTATTCTGAAAAGAAATGGGGGAAACATGCGAGGTTCTCATCCCTTGCCAAACACCTGGGAAGACATCCAGACACAGGAGCTGGGAAGCAGCATGAGAACATTAGTAGAGACATGACCTGTGTTAAACATAAATTATGCACCAGCTTCTTCTGCCCTCAGTAATATAAGCATTAGGTTATATGAACTCAAAATGCCATTAAAGAGCTTATATAGAAAGTGTTTCTGTTGACTGGGAGACAAGGTCTTAAATTATTTAAACCAGATGTTTATAATTCTGCCATGTACATATATGAATTTTCTATTGACTGCTCTGAAGGCGGTAGGTCTTTAACCACTACAGCTAAATGCATTATAATTTGTCCAGGAATACTCTCAGGTCTATAATTGCCAGCACTTTGCTAGTTTGCCAAAGTGTTAACAGCGCACTAATATTTTATTATATACAGATGGTAAGGGGATGATGTTTATGTTTAATTCTACAGGCTGAGAAAAAAAACCATATTTTCAAAACCTTTTTTTTTTTTTTTTCAGATAAAATATTGAGGGCAATCACTATCTAGCCTACAGAAGTTGCTACGAATTGTGGTATTAGCTCCAATACAGGAATAGTCTCCTGAAAGTCTCCAGATGGCCTCTAAATGGAACATAATTTCTGAGAAACAGACTGGGCTTCTGTATGGCAGAAACGAGCATTTCAAGTACATAAGCAAACCCTTAACAGAGCTATTAAACCTAATGCAACAGTAGTAGAAAAGAACTAGAAAATGTTTTTCTGTTGGTAAAAAAAGATCAAGTTCCACACTATATTCTACATATAAATACAGGAATTTATACAACCGGTAAAGATCTATTGATAATTACCAAATGATGCTTTATCAATCCTGCTGACACTACCACTCATCTCTGAAGAAGCAGCAGAGATATTTTAAGTCCTTTCCAAACTCCTCAGCGTCCTCGTCATCAAAACTCCTCCTCTTACTTAAAACAACAATACAGTCATGTATAGTTCCTGCAAACATTAAATCTTCGCAGCTAGAACAAGCAGCATCAAACCTTGATATGAAAATCATACCATAAAACATGCAATCTACGAAAACAGAACCAAAGAAACAGGAGGGTGCATGTTATAAATGTAATGCTCAGGATGCTGCAGTTAAGGGGTACTTTTACATTATTTGGGTGAAAAAAGAAATTTGTATTTACTCATAGAATTTTCTGCATCTCTCACTTACACAAGTGACAATTTCCTTGTTGTAAACTAAATATATTGTTCCAGCTCAGTTATCCTCAGCCATATACATCACTTGTGACTTTATCTTCCACAAAGGCTTTTTCCACTGCTGATTATTAGTTAGCAGAGCTGTCAAACTTATATGCAAGAACTTAATACTTAGGGACACAGATATAAATAGAGAAACAGTAGTAAACATTAGCAATGCAATCATTAATAGGAAGCATCAAGCAACATGGAATCACTGTGTTGGATTTTGTCTTACACGTCCATTGTGGAATTATCTATGTATAATATGCAGTTTTACAGCTATTTTTAAAGTAGGACTGTGGAACATCCTCTCATATTTTCTTTATACATTAATTTTCCATTACACGTGAAAAACATTTCCTGATAGATGCATTGAAAAACACAGATAATTTTACTGTTGTAATAAGATCTGTTCATTGTCAAGACATTATGAAATTTTCATTAAGTGAATTAGCATTGCTCAGTTCAATTAAAAGGTCAAGATTGACAGGTTATCTATTTCTCTGTAAAAAGCATAGGAAAATATGAAATAGGCCATTATTAAAAAAAATCAATACCTTGTGTTTGAATGACAGTTATAGTAGATTGCAGTATGAATTTCTTTGGGCAGGGATGGGGAGAAAAAGATGGTTTCTATTTATTATTTATAGGACTAAGGATGCTTACTCCAGTCCCAAATTAAGAAATACTGGATTGAAACAGTCTGGGAGGGTTTTTCATCACACACATTACATTTTACTGTTCTTCCAATTTTAAAATATTTTTCTTTGAAAGAAAGAGATTTTCAGGAGAAAAAATAGTGGTTAAAGGGAAATGCATACAAATGGGTCATAAAGAAAATTCTCAAATGCCATCATATAAAAAATTATATTTTTGAACAAGTTTTTTCTTTAAAGTATTGTAAAAAACCCAACACCTACCACCATGAATTTGCCTGATTCCGTTGCATTTCTAAGAAGAAGGCATTAGGCATTATAAAGGCAATTCTTGCATGACCCAAATCAGAAGTTGCTACAAACTGAATGCAATGAAAAGGAAAAATCCTATTTGAAAATGACAGAAACTTGCACTTAGCAATCTGTTGCCATTTTAAGACACTTATTTCTCTTTGTCCTCTTTCTGAGGTGTAGGGCATTTCAGCTATATGAACCCAGCTACGTAAAAAAAAAAAGTCAATTTCTCTGTATTCCTTTCAGATTTTAAGGTATGCTGCGTGACCACGGAAATTAAGTGTATTTGACTAGGGGAAAAAAATTAATCCGGTACATTTTTTGCCTTGATTAATCTAGCATGTTGAATTTGGCTCCACAAGACCTAGTGGGATAACTTGTTTTCTAAAATAACCTAGTTAATTTCAGGGTATTTTTGTTAGTAACACTGGGATATGCTTTGGAGCACTTAAACATCAGGATTAAATTATAAAGAATTCAGTTCATTAAAAAGTTAGCTATGTATGTCCTTAGTCCTGGGAGCTCAGACTTTTACAGCAGTAAGGAAAAACCCAATACTTGGAAATCACAATAATCATGAGATAGTAACACTGCATTCACAAGTCTTTCTTTAGAAAAGTCATATAACTAAACACAGTTACAACTCATGACCTCAGCAAAGAAACCCCATAAAATATTTTGAGCCCCTTTGTCAGATGCATTTTGATTTCATAGCCAACACTAGTCTAAGGCATAGAGTTGCATAAAATTTGCTCTCCTGGGCATCTAATAAATACAGCATAAATGATGCTTGCATTAATTTTTTTTTTTCTACTTACTTACACATTTTAAAAAACCTTCTACTTAGGACAATCGAAGTTAAATTCTTTGGTGGTCATTTAAAAAAAACCCAATGAACTATACATAGACAATTGATCAGTTGTCCTATACTGAGGTAATCTGAGGAGTGCCATGAGAAAGTCACGTTACAAACATTTCCCCATCTTCCCTGCCTAAAAGCAGCTTCCATGTTTTAATATACTCAGCACAGACCTCTGCAGCGACCTGAAGAGATCCATAGCCCGTCTTAACGCGTTGCATATAGCAAGGCTGAAAGTTGAAGAGTGTATCCTACAATCAGGAAAGCAAAGAAAGTTCTTCTGTGTATCATGTCCTTGATCCAACCAGGAAGATTAACTGTGCAGTCTACTGTAACATCATTGTATTAGAGTGCTGTCACACATTAAAATCTAGGGTAGCTTATGGAGAAACAAAGAAAAAAGGAAATACAATTTGAGAATACTTGACAGATACCATCTGAACATCATTAAAGGGGTGAATGTCAAGTACATAAAAAAAAACCCAAATCTTTCCATTGTTTGCATATGCTTTTCATACAACAGCATGAAAATCATGTCACTTGGCAAAGGGATTTTGTTTGTTGATTTTTTTTTTATGGAAAACCTAATGGAACATAGCCTTTTGCTTTTGTTTACCAGAATAATCAATTATGTCCACAGAACTCCCAGAGTGGTGCCTGCTGAACCTACAGCAGCAAGAATACCAAGTACTATAATGACATAAATGAAGCCTGTTTTGCTCCTTTTTATTTTTTTCTTTTTCTTTTTTCAGTAAAACAATGAGGGGAATAAGTTTTACATTTCAAGGGATGACTCCCTTCATACTCATAAGAAGAGGAGGGCAAAACTAGGATTTAGTACTTGACGTTAGCCCCTTTAAACAGGAAAAATAAGCTTTGGAAAAGACAAATGAAACCTTACTCTGCTGCCTACGTGGAAAACACCAGTAGATATTAAGATACTCTTTAGCTTGCCAGAAATGTCAAAGCTACTCAATTAAGTAAAAGTCAAGTGTTCCTTGTGCCTCAATGGCATGACGTTAAGAACATACAGAGACACCAATTCTGCTCAAGTTTTCAGGCAGGTGGTGCCATCTCATCCTAGCTCAAACATTTAAGTAGGGTTGTGTTTTTTTTGTAGATATATGCAAATGATTTTTCTAGTAGATTAACATTTTTGTGAAAAATGAACCAGGAAATTCAATTGTGAAGCTATGTTTCTTTTAAGTAAACTGTAAATAACCTTATAAACTCAGGTCTAATGCAATTTCTAAACAAAGATGGTTTTCATTTTTTAGCCTGTTTACACTCATGGATTACTGTATTGCATGTGATTCCTCTTTGCATGCATAGTGTAAAACCTTAGAGCCTGGTTTTTAAATTTTTATGATCTACCAATGTAGGAGTGCTGACGAGAAATAAATTGATGCCTTTGTAAAGAAATATATAGAGAGACGTTTTTAAAGTACTAGTTAATTAGTAATGAGTAAAAGCTTACCCCACAAAAAACAAATCAGCTGCTACATTTTAAAACTCTTCTTACGTAGGATAAATAAAATGAATTTTCCTGTAAAAAAAATTTATTAATCTTTCAACCTGCTTTTTGAACAATAGAATAAATAAAACCATTAGTGCCTTGAAGTTCAAATGTGCTACAGATGGTTAAGGTAATTGAATAACTACATTAAAACGCACCATGAGAAAATTCTTTATCATTTTCCATGCAGGAAGCCAATTGATATTTTTGTGAGGTACCGGTCTTTCAAAAATACTCATAAGTTAGTTACCTGATGCACCTTCTGTACATGGTATATTTAAAAATCTAACTGTACAGTGTTTCAATCATATATAATGCATATAATTTGCTGAATATGGCACAAATGCTAAGTCTCCACACCCACACATCCTTTGCTGTAGAACACGCTTTAGGCATAACACAACACTGAAGAACAGAAAAGTGCCTGAAACTAAAAGAGAAACCAACAAAACACTCAAGTAGTAATAAATTAAATCTCATTCAAACCAATATAAAAGTTGTTCAAGTGTTTAAAGTATCAGATGTGTCATGCAACAGAACAACGGACAATTCAGGCAGGCACACCATGCATTATAGTTAGCATTCATGGTATCGCAAGGTATCTTGTCCTTCCTTCTGCATGGCCAGTGAGTGCTGGGTACCTGCGGCACTGCTAGGCTCACATGTTGAACCTCCAAACCCTCTTGGTCTCCTGCACAGGAGGTTTTATCGAGCTATGCCTTGGAACGATAACCAGACAACCTCATGCTGTACAGTGGTATCTTGCTGCAGCAGAAAGAGAGGCGTACTGAGCTTCATGTAAGCAAAGCAATCATTTCTTGATTATATTTTCCAGTCAGTGCGGTTCACCATAAACCTATCAATTTACCAAAATGTGCTTTTCCAAACTGGCCAAGTTTGCACACCAAGAAAACGTCTTTGCAGAACATATCACCTTTTCCCTTTTTTTTTTTTTTTTGGCACAAATCCTTTTGTACTCTTGCAGCAAGCTCTTCACCATATGAGAATTCCGAGATACTAGCTTGTACAAACACCGGTGCTTATTCTTCCATAGAGTAAACTACAAAGACAGCTAAGTGCCTGCAACAGCTTTGCTTCTCCAGCAACTTTCCCTTCTCTCTCTAGGGAGAGCACCAGCATAATTACACTTCAGACAAAGGGGTGTTCTTGCCGAGCTCCTTAATTCCCTGGAGAATTCGCTTCATATGACCCACTTTCGTTATCCCCAGGTCCTACAGAAATTCAGACAGAAAAGAAAAAAAAAAGAGAAAAAGAAAAGTTTATTTACAAAAAGGAAGGAAAAAAAACCCAACACCGATTATGTTCTAGCCATGCAACAGATGTCTAGAAATGTGCTCACTGCAATCAGCATTAACCAGAAAACATTCTATGGCACTAGCAAGTGTTGCCTAACAAAAGAAATTGCTTAGAACATACAATGAATCCCTTTCTGTCTTGAAGACAGAAACTTACTTACCTGCAATAATGACAATCCAAGGCACTGCAATATCTGTCAAAACCATTTCACTTCTAAACACTTCTAAACCTTTCACAGTTTTTGGCAAAAAAGAGAACAATCTCCCCCTCCTCTCTAATATAGCAATCAAGTGTTTATTAGGATGTGATGGATTAGAGCTTCTGTCCAGCAGTGTCACTTGAACTGAGGCCCTATGTTGTGTGTTTAAATCAGCAAACACACATATCCCCAGTTTCTCAAGGGAAAGTGGATGTAAAGGCTACAGGCATGTAGGACAACTTCCCTTTAGAGAGCAATAGAAAAGGTAAGCATCTGTTTTTCATTCCAAGAAGGTTACATCTCCTAACACGGATCTTCCTGATTAGAGAACTGGCAGAAAAATTCTCAGAGACATCACGGTCACATCCCAGAGGAAAAATGTAAAAGGCACAAGCATCAATCTCCTTGTAGCCACCACTGAAGCAATCACATCAACTGAAATGTTTCCAATAGTGGTTACTGGGACCCATCTTCATATGGGTGACAATAGACAACAACTTCTTGCAGCAAACCTCTTCCAGTATTAATAACAGGTTTAGCAGCCTCCTTTTTCAATTTTGAATGTTCCAATGGTCAGAGGAGTAAAATGGGATGCCCAGCAGTGCTAATGATCTCCAACTGTGCTAATGAATTTTCAGCTAAGTTTGTTGGAAATCTTCCCTTATCTGTAAAACCCGGCTTTGAAAACCCCTTTAAAATCCTTTCATTAGTCATGTTGAGCAAGTGGCAGTCAAACACTAGCTATTTGTAGAATAAACCTTATGTACAAAAATTGTGATTAAAGAAAAAAAGCCTTGGAAAAGTGTCACTACCTGTTTTTCTGAAATAGAAATCCTTTCATTTTCATAGGAAGATTTTCCATTACAAAGACATTAAAAAGAGTGCAATTAAGCAGCTTGAAATAATTATTTGCATAGAGTGAAAAATGAAATCATATATAATATTCTGTACATACTCTGCCCAAAGACTGTATCTGCTTCTCTACAGCCACAGAAACCTCAGAAAAACTGTACTTTGTAGTATTATTTGTAAGTGTTAGCATGCAATTAATTTTTTCATTTCTCCAAAGGAAGAAAGGGATGGTAAGATGGGCATGAATTATGTTATTGTAAAGGTAGCACAGCACAAATTAAACCAGTGGATTAATTTTCAGAGAGGCAAGATGGAATTCCGGTTATGTTAAAAAAAATGCTAAACTTCATTTTCCAATGAATCCAATGAAAAAGTATTGAAACTACTGAAATAGTCTAGTTATTATGTGGAGGAAATATTACATAAGTGAAAACCAATAAGGATGCTTTCCAAGCCATGAGAAGCCACACATTAAAGGTTAAGAACTCGCAAATTCTTCAGAATGTTTTTCAGAACTAGAACTTCTGTTGGATAAGCAACATAGCGAGATGCTGCCAGACTTCGAAGATCAGAGGAAAGAATCACGTTATGAAATTCCCAGAGAACTCAGCCACTTTTACCATGTATTGTCAATAACACTTCTGCTTCAGAGGCAAAAACTCTTGGTTTTATTTCCATTCCAGTTAAAAGTTGCTGTAATGTGTATCAGAACAGCAAGTGTCAAGAGTCTTATCACAATTTTGAGGACCTTTCTGATGAATTCTGCCACTTTTCAAGAGAAAAAAAAACCAAAACAACCAACATGATAAACTGATTTTTTACGCCTGTGTAATAGTTCGGGTTTTACACATTCCTGACACTAGATGCTGTCTAGTACTCTCAGCTTACTACTGCTGCGGGAAAAGTTTGCAGAAATTCTCTCATCTCAGACTAAAAGGATCAGCTACAGCACCATAGCATGCATCATTCAAAAAGCAAGATGCCCAAAGATCTGCAGTTTTGTGCATGTTTCATCATGATTTGTGCATATTTGATTGATATATAATTAACAAAAATTCAGTTGGACTAAAATCTGAAGACAAAACTCTAGCCAGAGTCTGAGGAAGAAAATAGCCTTTCTTTTTCCCCAGCTCTGGCCTTAAAACTACAGGATGACCTCTTCTTCCCTAAGCACTTTACCATCTCTTCAGCAGGTAAGGCTCAAAAAATACTAGGAAAATAAACCCAAACCAAACCAAAAACTTTGGGCAAGAAAAAGCTGATGAAAATTCCTGCAACAGCTCTCAGGAGTTCTTCATCTGCACTGTATTACGGTGATTAGCCTGCTATTACGGTGATTATGTCTGCTTAGCCAAGAACCCATTTATTCCAGCTTTGCCCCACAGATTTTGGCTGAACATACCATCAATGTAATACTACCAAACAATTTATATTAACACTGCTCAGTATTAACATCTTCCAGATGACAAACCTACCCTACTTGCATTCCCAGTGTCAAAAGCCATGCAGCATGTCTGAAGTCGAACAAATCTTAGAAAGCATTTTCCACACAAGAACTTCTTCAGAACATGCTACTGCAAAACACCAAGATGAAATGCTGCAGTCCTGGGCACAGACTTCAGCTCAGCTGGCACTGCTTATCAGGCTGACATGAGGTATGGAAACCCTTTCACCAAAGAAACCTAACACCGCTATGGAGCTCTAAGGAGACATCATCCTCATCCTAACAAATGTCTTGCAGTTCTTAGTTACTACTAAGTAATCAGAACAGCTTGTATAGGAACATGGTTATGAATACTAACAAAGCTGCATTTATTTCAGAAAAAAGCAGCGTCTAGCTTTAAATGAGTTTGCTTGTAAGAAGCAAAGTCACAACAAGTTTGCTTTCTACAGTTTCTACAGCAGAGTTTGCAAGTCACTGCCCAGTCTTTCCTCAAGCAAAAGAAAATCACATGGGTGTAAAAGTTCCTAAAAATATTCCTCATTCCCCTAAACAAAATCAGGTATAGGAGGCTGAAGAAAGGGTGCTACTGCAGGACTGGTTGGAGAGAGGTATTTAGTTCCTCTTGGAGGTGTTCTCCATTTGCCAGTTGCAACACAGAGCTGAGAGCAGAATCGCAAGCTACACAGAAATACATAGGTGTCCAATTCCTCAGTCAACATATTGATCTATTTCAGTGACGTGTGCAAAGGAAGAGAGTTTCATCAAATCCTTTTCTGTACTGCTTTTTATCTCTACTTTTGACCACAGAAAGGTGGACCCAGAGGATTCAATTAAATCAGGTAATGACTATTCCTGTTGTAGACATGATAGATAATAGAGATAAATCTATTGCACATGACTTGAGATCTTGTGCATTAATGATGAGCCCATTTAGCTTGGCAGGAAGGACAAGCCCTGCACTGGAGGAGAGGCTGCAGACAGTGCTTACAATAGCACTGACGACTCATCTACACACCTTGATTGCCAAAGGGAGGAAAAAGGTACCACATTACGCATCTTGACACCAGTTCAGGTCACTGGCCAGAAAACCACAGGCTCCCTGAGTCATCTCTGATTGGCTCCCTGCAGAGATCATGCCCTGTATGTAATGAACCAGACAAGAGCTAAACTCTGCTATTTCAATTCAGCATTGCTACACAGAGCACAAGCCACGCTTGGCCAAAAGCCTGGCCTACCTTACAAACAGCACTGCTTTGGAAGCTCTCAGCATCTGCTAACAAGCAGATGGGGCGATTCTAGAACAAGACTTCTTCTAGCACAGGATATACGCTTGCCAACTTGCATAGAACAACTCCTCACCCAGATATCCTGAGCAACTTTAAACATACGTGTGTCAGGCAGCAATACATAAAGGGGACAGTGAAAGTCTGCCTCTCTGTAGGGTCTAAGACAGGCTTTTAGACATTTCAGGGCATAGGACTTCGTGATGGGGGTTTACTTATGCTGAATCAGCACGAGTCTTAGCAACAGGGTGTCAGGTTGATTATTACCCTGCTGCAGATATTTACTTGGCTGAAGTGCCAGTCTTCTGGGCATGCAGTCAAATTGGAACCTATCAGAAATGAGGCATAGCGAGAAGCCATGCGTAGTTTAACGCTGATCTCACCCACTGTCACATATTCAAACAAATCAGACATCTTGATTATTTGTAAGATTTCTTAACATTTTAGCAAACCTATGCATTGTGTAATGCTGAGTTTCCCAGTTAAGTTTTACATTTGTTCAGTGCTCATTCAGAACAGGGACTTGCAACATCCATCACTGGAGCATTGTGATGATTGATAATTTTCTGTTACTAAATTTCTTCAGGGAGATACTGCCCTGAAACTGTCCCTCCATGTCAGGAACTACCCTGAACAAAGGAATTTAACTTCCAGGGAAAGAAATTTAGGAAATCTAATACCAAAATAACACACAACAGCCAAACATCTCAGGTATCTTCAGCAGCTGCCTTCTACTGCAACAGTCACACAATGCAAGCACGTTGAGATTTCATAAGATATAAGAAACTTTAAAAAAAATCGCCCATTTGAATGAAGTATTGCCACTATCTGGAGACTACTGCACTGTGGCTAGAGCAATGACTTGCACTCTAAATGTAAATGTTTGCAATTCATACAATAACCTATTTCTTCTCTTATGTGCTAAAAGCAGTTGCAAAACATATTATGAAGAGCTCATTATAAAGAACTCATTACTACTGAGTTCCTGGAAAAAGTAATGTAATGAATCCCCAAAGATACAGCCGCTATTATATATAATGGATGCACTTAAGACATTCTTGAAAAAGACTAGCAAGCTCAAATAACAGCCTCAGAATGCTAGGTAACATTTCTCCCTGCAAAACTTACCAGTTTGACCTCTGAGAAAGAAAGAAATTTTTGCAATTTTAGAGTCAAAAGAAAGTGTTCTTTTTTAAATCTCTACAGCTAAAATCAGCACAGAGGTTGGTCATGGACGAGAAAACCTGTTGCAAAAGTCTGTTATGACACATGAACGCCAAGTCCAATGCTGCAATTTATTAAGCTGTTTATCTCTCACACCCACTATATCCAATATATATACAATAAATCACCTAAAGCAGGTCAGCTGCTCGTAGCTGCTGACCTTGCAGTAGATAGATTAAAAATTATTATCACCACTTTCAACTGATCCATGCTGTTTAATGGAAACAGTGAACTGAAGATAACATTATATTACACTCATGTCAGTAACATATCAAACGTGCTTTTTCTATACCTTCTGACATAAACCATAATGCCATCATTCTACATAAAGTGCAAAAAAAAAGGAAAATTCAGATAACACAGATATGCGTGGCTGCAAGTACAAGTCAGCACTTAAGAAACTCAGGCCAAAGGACAGCGCGTATTAGTTTATTGCATATTTGCACAGTGTAAGCCAAGCTACAAGCACATAACAAGTGCGGGGAAAGAAGAAAAGTTGGTTGTTGTTTTGTCAAAGAAAATGGTCAATAGCAGAAAAGTAGCACAAAGGAAATACCTTAAGATCTCGCCTTTCCAGGTGTAAAAGCTCAGAGCCTCGGATGTCATGGCTGATGAAGATTTCTTTGTACTCTCCCAAACTGAGCAGATCCAGCCAAGCAGCAACTTCATCTGTGCCCCATTTTTGAACTACCAAAGTTAAGAGCAAAACCCCCTTAATTTCTACATGCTCAAATGCATCACAAGCAAAGGTTAGGCCAAAGAGAGTGGAAAACAGAGTAGAATTGCCGTGCTAGCAAAGGGAAAGGTTAGAGGTGTCATTTCCACAAAAACTGACAATTTCCTTTTTACATGCAGGTTACAGATTAGCAGTTAACATGAGAAAGTATCTAAACAAAGTTGGGGTTCTTTGCTTTGCAGCCATGCTCTCAGCTTTACTCCAGTTTCTTCAGTAAAGCCTTTAAAACCAGATGCCCCAACAAATTCATATTAAACCATCTTAGGATCAGTGACGCAGTCTAACGCTGTTCTGCTTTATACCATTAATTTATTAGTAGTCATCCAGTGAGAGAAGAAGCCTCCAAAACTAATTAACATGTAAAATCAAAATATCAACCATACTTCAAATATAGCAATGGCAGCAAGCAAGTCCAGCTTTAATGAACAGATTCCAGTATTCTTAATTAATGCAACAAGTATTCTTTAATCTACTCTGTTACACAGGCCATTAAGAAGCTCTCTGTAAAACATTGTTCTCTAAGGTTAGTTGCCCACATTAGTCCTAATAATACCACAATTATTAAAAAAAAATCAGTTATGCTGCTTATTGCTATAATTTTGCAACTTTGTTCAATGCTGATCAGTTTCACAGTGAAATGAAAACCAACATCTAATCTGATATTTAAAGTCTGATTGATAACTGCAAGATTTTGCAGGTTATGACCAACTGTCCATTACAAAGACAAAGATGTAGGAACAGTTTTAGGAACATCTGATCACTAATTAACTCCTGGACATAATCTTAAGGAAATAAGTTCATGGATAAAAGTCGGAAGAGAGGAGAGTGGAGTTTGTTCAACTTCTTCTAATTAAAAACTCAGTATTGACTATCATGGACTTTTGTTTGATTTGTTTCACTTGCTGAATTTAAAATCCATCTGAAATTTAAGAATAACTGGTTAATTAAACCAGCATGATAAAAGCTATCGCACACCTTCTGAAACTAACCTGAAAAACCTGAATTGGAGCTTACCTATGGCATGTATTGCTATGGGTTAACCAAATGTAACCAACCAGCAAAGACACAGGTCCTGTTGCATGATAAAACTACCTAAATATTTTCACAGTAGTTCTATGGTTCACTTGGAATACTGGGGTCCTACTGAGTGCTTTCTAAATGCATTGAAAGAAATATTCACCCTAATGAAGATGCCAGCTAGCTCCACGGCTTTTCACATTGACTCTTCTCTTAGGTAGGATGCCTCATGTCCCTTCTTACATTAAAAAAAAAAAAAAAAATCATAAAATCACATTTTCCCCAAATACGATATTTTTTTCTTGTCATTTCAAAACACATACCAGGCTGAGGGCTGGTCTTATGCTTCTGAATTTTTTCTTTTTTAAACTTAGGCACTATGCGAAACACTGTACTTCTGTTGTTTCTTTTAGCATAATCCAGAGGGGGATCCTGCATGCAAGAAGAGACAGTTACCTTTAATTAACAGAAAACAACAGTTAAAATGCATGTTAGAGAGGGTAATTCATAGTTAATCTCAAAAACTAAGACAAAATTTAACTGCTGTAAGGAATAATGTCAGGATTTAACTCTATACATATTTCATTTAATAACCATTCAAATCCTTTTCTCTCAGGAGAGAGAACAAAACACGCAAATAGCCCTAAGCTTAGAAGTTTGTTCACAGCAGACAGAAATGATCCAGCATCACTACTGAAATTGCCTCTTCAGATCATGAGGATTCTAATGTACTCTACCCTACTGAAAGAAAATTAAGTTCACTTAGAAACAGGAAGTATAAATCAAACTCACCTCATCATCATTTGGTTGGAAAACATAATAAAGCCAAGGAATCTCAGCAAGTTTTCTCAACTCTATTTCCACACTGTGCAAAGCATCAGATAAGAGTTCTTCATGGGGAGCTTCTAACTGCTGTTTATAAACAGGCCAAAAAATATTAGTTTTAGTTTTATTAGGATACAATATTTAAATCTAGACATATTATTACCATACACAAACAGATGACTACTTCATGGTGAGTGTAAACACATGATGAAAACAAACAATCTTCCAAAATCACATTTTCCTTCAAAGATGCATCCGACACCACATTTAGTATGGTCCCAACCACGAAGTGGTCGCTGACACAGCTGAGACCTTTGGTGCCCATCACCTGGACATAGCTGTTAATCACCAACATCACTCCTGAGTCTACATAGAGAAAAAGTTATCTGATAACACAAATATTAGAATACACTAGAAATGGAAACTACCAGCACAAGGGAGGCAAAACCTGACCAGAAGAGCAAGAGCCTGGACAATCTCTGCATAAAAAGTGGTGTGAAAAATTTGAATAGGTGATAGTAAGCCTGAGTTACTATTTGCAAATATCTTCATATGGTAGATCACCTCATGGTCAAGTAAGAGGAAATGGATTTTACTAAAGATGCTCCATTCCCAAAGGTCTTCCAGTGGTGACAGATTACTTGAACTACCCCTTCTGACTATGTGCAACATGGAGCTATAGCCACTGCTGTTGGCTGAGGGTGGGAAGAATAGTGACCGGACTTGGAAGGGGGGCACTACTGCAGCCCCAGACAAGTGTCAAAAAGCCAAACATATCAGAGAATGCCAAAAAAGGAAGAGAAAGTGGTAGCAGCTAAGTAAATTAGTTGGAATTACTAATAAAGCAATCTGAACATCTGTTTCTTTGAAGTAAACGTAGTCCCACAGCAGTGCAGCATATCCTTTTGAAAGGATCTAATTAAGTTATATCCTAGTGAATGCATCTTTAAAAGGGAGTTGTAGGAGAATCTTTGATCTCTAGTGCTGGAAAAAAGATTTTGACGTCGTTGGTGTTTGGTGATAAATTATAAGCCCTATTAATTTAACCCTACCTAACAATAACTTCTTTGCTTCAATAGTTTGCATAGTTCGCACATTTCAAAGAGGAGACCATCCTTACTAAGATATTGCTGTTTAATGTACTAATATTAGAAATATATGCTCCCCCCTGCTATCATGCCATTTTCTCTTCCAAAGCTCACAGAATTCAGTGCCCATAAGCAGACGCTGATCTTTCTTTTCCCTCGTTTTTTTTTCAATGTGAGTAGTTCCACACATACTTGAAAATTTTCAACGTTTGTTGTGTTTTCATTTTGAAGAAATTATCAGCTATTGTACATAAACAAATGAAACAAGAGTTCTGTCTTTCTCAACGAGCACTTATCTAATTGCTTGATTCTTAAAGGAACACATTTTGCTTGAAGACAAAACGAATCTCATAAGGTTAACCGGGGTGCCCTGTTACTGTGGCTGTGAAATACTATTCTGAACAACTGTGTTGTCAAATGACAACGGACATCTCTGGAAGATTATCTCTGGAACTTCTAAACAGCCTTTTTAGTAAAAGATGGGTTTGATGTAGGCTCATGAAGACATCTACGCAGACCATAATGAGAAGTAGAATTACAACATGTAAAAATCAGAAATAGACAAATGAATCAAATTAAGCTTTGAAGCCTGAACAAGGCAGCAGTTTGACAACACAATGAGATCAAAACTGGCTATAGAAAAGGTAATGTTTCAATGGGAAGGTTTCCATAATAACATTATTTTCAGACTGCCTTGATAAATTACTATAGCCTTAGTATTAAATTTTTTCTTCTAACTACGCTTTTTAAATGAATTTTGACTCCCCATTCAATCTGAAATATGAGGAATTAGTAATAATAATTTGAAAAAAATAGCAGATATTCTCCCTTTTCTTGGACAAAAACATAACCTTGTCTTCTAAAACATCATAAAATAGACCACATGAACCTAATCTTCTGAATATTTCTAGATTTTAGATGACTATTAGCCTATAGACCATATTACCTTTGGTAATTGTAGAACAGACTCGTGCCATTTATCACTGGTGCAAAAAGGTATGTGAACCTGCACTAGTTAAGTTTCATACTCTAACCCAGGCAAGTGAAAACATTTCTGTTGTTATCCATCTTTAATTATAGCATTTAAATAAATAGTATGTTAGTAATCTGCTTTTGAATCCAAAGAAAATGTAACTGCTCTTACTGAGTATCATCTTAATGTAAAACTGGACCAGCATAGAAAACCTGACATTCTTCTTCTCTTCGCAGTGTCTCATATAGAAAGTTTCTAATTATACATCCAGGTACAACAATGTTTGAGCAGTCTATATCATTTTAGGCACAGAAACTCTAGCCAAAGAAGATGCAAAGTCTGCAAGTACCATTAGAGGTCTACTGAACACTTAGCAGTTAAAGGTTATAAAATAATTCCTGCAAGGTATTAGAACAAGGGCAAGATTTACTTGCCCAGATTAGATCTGTAGAAGTTGAATGTTTGAGTCTGAACAGCTCTCACCCCAAGTCCTCTTTAAACTCTGAAGACAGTCACATAATAGAACTCCAGAAGTTCTCTTAAATTCTACATCTCCAGGAAATGATTAATTTTTGTAAGATAGGCCTCCAAAACACTTGAGTGTCAATCAACCTCAACAGGGATATTTATTTTTCTCCACTGATTATTAATAAGAAGAGCTCAGTAATGACCTTTTAGATATCTGAAGTCACGTAAAATGGATGCCAACCTAGGACAAGAATTCATAACTCACTCTCATCCACACCATAAATGCAGTGTAATATCCTCCAGTCGGTCTTACAGAGCTTCCTGTAGGATGTCACAAATCCTGAGCCGATTAAAAAAATTAGCAAAGAACAAATCACAGATAATCTGAGTGAGGGAATAAAACATGTATTTTGTCACCTTACCAAAGGAACTCTTCCTACTAGCAGAGACTCAGTTTCATTATGTAGAGCCTTCACATTGACAGCTATCTCCATGGCAGTGTTTCTGGTAAGGCTCTAGGGAATAAGAACCGTAAGTTATTTAAAGTGAACCAAGTCAGACTGAAAATAAGTACTTTGGTGTTACAGCACAGATTTAGGGTGTCTTCTCCTAGAAGAAATACATCAATTTAGCTCTACATTGACAAGTTCTTCAGCCCTGAGAACAGAAAACAAAAACGTAGTATCTATTTCCTGTCTTTCCCCTGAGTTCATTTAATTTTTTATACAATCCTGAAGATCATCAAATGACCAGCCACCTGTAAGATGATTCCACAGTCTAACACCAGGAGAGGACTCTCCTCTTTATTACTCTTGCTGTAAAAAAAGCAGTTTCCCTAACTCCCATTCCTGGCATTATTAATAAATTTCAGAATCACTGAGCATAACCTCTACCAAATTCATCAGCTATGGGGTGTTTCCCTGTGCATGGGAAGGGCTGAAGCACCCTGCTGATAAAAGAGGGCAGCACCTTCAGAATCAAAAATAACTCCCTTTTCTTTCACCTTAGAAAAAGTGCAAAAAGAGGGAGGAGATACAGCATCCATTCATCTGTTAAGTAATTTCATTTACATTTTAGCATGCGTATGCATATTTAGAAGTCTTGCGTAACAAAAACTTCAAGAATTATCATCCAGCTTGTTTTAATATGGGGACAGGGAGTACAGTACAGCTCCCATGTCACAAACTTAAGCACACAGATATTATAGCTTATTTACTTATAAATAAATCTCTGTTCTCCCTTTACCTCAGGAAACCTTGGGTTGGCTTTATTTAATGCATGTGAACATGCATTAACAGCATGAGCAAGCTCCTGCTCCAAGAGGCCATGTATTTTTGCCGCTTCACAGATCCTACAAAAACACAAAAAGGATAAAAATATTTCTTACTCCTTTTAAAGAATAATTCTGAAGAGTACACAACTTTATCAGATGAGAAAATATACAAAGATAGGTTTCACAAAACACTTAAAAATACAGTCTTTTACAACAAAAGTTGAAATACAAGTATCTCTTCAAGCAATGCAGCACCTCATATAAATAACATCCATAACACAGATTATTTATTCTGCTAGGAAATACTGTGACAAATTTATGTCTTAGAACATAAAAGCCATGCAAAAATTGTACAAAAAAATGTTCAGGCTGTTAATCCAAATAAACTCTATAGGAAAACCCTAACACATTAAAATAACTTTCTTGAAGTTATCTGAAAAACCATTACATCTATTTCACAAGGCATATCCTTCAGATGTGACATTAAAATTGGCTACAATCATTTGAGATTATGGGAGGACCAGTCGTAATGACAACCTCAGGCCACCTCTAGAACAGTAAAGTTTTTAAGCTGTCTTGGCTAAACTTCACTTTGGGTGATTTATAACCTAAATTATTCTTCTATGTCTACTTAAGTCATCAGTACAGTACAAAAAGAACATGTAGTTCTTCAATTCCATTCTTACATTGCCTGCGCAACTCAACACATACTCCCAAGAATTTCTTTTGATGCTTAAGATAATTTGTTAGCATGATGAACTGAACAGCAGGTTTGTAAAATGTTCTGATTTAAAAACAAAAATGCTTTTCTTAAAATAAACTTTTTTTTTTGTGTGTGAAAACTGAAGTGTCTTTATTAATATACTTACATCTCAGGGAGAAAGCAGTTCTTTAGAATAAGCAAGTCTGTGGGATCAGTTTTATATCATCAGCTCACCACCATCTCAACCCATACAAATTACTGAGGTGTGCATCATCACAGAGATGAGGGTTTTGAGCAGTAAGAATGAAATAGAAAGTTGCATTAAGAATGACTGAGTGGATGAATACAAAAAAGTATGACGATTTTGTGGCAATTTGGGCTCCTTGAATGTTGGTGTGTTAACTATTTACTCATACAATATGTAAGAAAGCTTTCAGGTTCGTTGAAAAGTGCTCAATTTTTTGAAATTGTGAGTAAGAAGGCTTTCAGGAGAAAAAAGGTCAGAAATTCAGGTCAGGTGGATACATCTACATTGTTGACTTCTAAAGCAGACTTCCATGTTTGTTTTCAATACATTCTTGCTTTTGCATAAAATGTGAAGTTTCAATCAAAAGCCTCTCTGCAAAGAAGCTTTCCAGTTTTGTTTCCACTGCTCCTTCAGAAAGTCATTTTTCGCAAGGAAAAAAATTCATAAACACAGAAAAAGAGAATAACAGAATTAGATAAGAAAGTTGAGCCTTAGAAATAAAATAAAACTGAAAAATAAGCTGAAACGATTGAGTGGCAAATAAACGTAAGTCAAAACCAGGGAAAACATCCACTTTTTAAGTCTATGCATGCATTTACTTTCAGTCTTGGTGTCCAGGTTGCCAATCTAAACTTACTAATTTTACTGTACCTTGTAATCAGTTCTTCTGCAGCTTGTGAGCACAGCTGGATGTGTGTAACTTCTTCTTCTGTAGCCAACTCAACAGCCTGCTGAGGGTACAAGGGAGATCGAATGACGGGTTTACAGGAATCATACTTCTGTTTATCTTCCCAAGACTTCAGGGTGTTTTCAAAGGCCTAATCAAAACGAATTACACCTTCAGTTCATAGCACTTAGAGTATTCTTACTTACTAAAACAATTATATTTGATATAAAATTTTAGTTTAAATTAACAAGCTTTTAAATTATTTTAATTTTATATAAATAATACAATCTGTATAAATAATAAAATTACATTTCATTTTTTAAAACTTATTCTAGAGAATGAGTCACTTCTAATAGCTCTTTCCCTCTCTCTTCCTCCTCCCCATTATCCTCAAAATGTGTCTTCCAAAAGAATAAGCACATTTTGTGCAAACAGCAAAATCAAATCTGAAATTAATAGAAGATTCAAACCTAAAAAATGGTGGGAAAAAGTAATGAATTTCCTAAAATAGAGTTCAAATGCCATTAACTCCACCTTAAATTCAGCATTTAGTTAGTGGACAGAGAACTGAAAGGCAGTTACGCCTTTCACACAGTAATCCTAGACAAGCATGAATTCTCTAGCGAATTTGTGACTAGGCTCTGCTTGAATTTATACAACTGTGCTAAAACTTCCAGTATGCAATTGTGTGTAGCACACATAAGGAAAAGGAAAAGGGAAGGGGAAAGGGAAAAAGGGAAAAGGGAAAGAACAGACTGAGAAGGAGAGGAACAGGAGGTATAGCAAAAATTTTTACTATTCTTACTATGTATTAATAAGAATACAGGACTAGTACTAATAAAACTCATAAAAGCCAGTAAAGCTTTGTCACTTATACAAAACAACCATTCTCTATCTGGTTTAATATAGAAGCACAGAATGGTTTGGGTTGGAAGGGACTTTAAAGATCATCTAGCTCCACCCCACCCCCCCCAAATACGGAAATTATATAATTGCAAGAATTCTGTGAGTTATACAAATTGTTATAAACCATTTTTGTAAGCACTGTTTTGTTCATGCTACAACTGAATGGGATTATTACAGAAACCAGTGTTAGTAATAGCATCTCACAACACACTTTCTGCAACATACTCTGTCTCGTGTTAGCATCTGAGCTCTGTTCTTATGTATGATCTTAATAACTCCTGGGGGCTGGATCCATGCCTCTCCATCAACTTGCACTGGAACCCCTTCATCACCAAGTATGGTGATCTTTACTGACCGACACTGGAAAAGAACAAACACATTATTTTACAGAGCAATAAATACTAAAGAAACTGAGAGGCCACCTGAAATAATTACTAGGAGCTTTGGCTTCCCTCTAGGTTTGTCTCAAGGATGAAGCACTTTTATACTTCATTCATCACTGAAGACAATTTGTTACCCATTAAAATTAAAACAATGTCAGCACTTTATTAATGTATAGGGTGGTGGCCATACTTGCCAGCATCCCAAACTGCTACCAATCATGTGTCGTGCTTTCAAACGAGAAACAAACCTGAGCTATTCTGTGGTGCTGCAGTTTGATGACTCTTGAAACTGCCATCTGCATGCTGCCAAACACTGCAACAACTTCCAAGATCTTGTCATCGAACGATGGAGCCCCAAATATCTGAAAGGAAAATATTCCATTTTGATTATAAATGTAGTGCATGTTCAATGAAACACAGATTCATTTACAGATTAGTTTTCAGCATTTAAATGCTCTACCTTATTTACTGTAGAATAACTACACTGTCTCTCAAGTCATAGAAGAGAGACACTATAGACAGGAGGCAAATACTATTTTCAAACAGCAATGCTAATAGCATTTCAAATTCTTAACGATGAGGCATATCTTTATATAGGAAGGATGGCATGTTCCAGCATGCAGATTAAGAAATGTTTTTCAAGAGAAGATGAAAGCCCAGTTCAAATCTCTGCTCGGTTAATGCACTTAACATCTCAGAGATTCTTGAAGTTAAGAGGAGTAATGGTGTCTTTTTTCTCAGAAGTGCTTATCTTCTTATGTTCTGAATTCTCTGAAAACCAACATCTGCGTCCAGACTTGGCTTTGTTAAACACAGCTTTCATGCTGAAGAGGATCTTTTTTCCACTGTATACAATTATCCACTGTAAATATGAAAACTGCTTCTGTATGGAACAAACATCCTGAATCCAACCAAGACACTGAATTTCCATGAGTTTATGCAAAGTGCAGGACGTCCCATGTGTGCCATTGCCACATGGTGTCCTACAAGCAAATTCAGCCATGCCGCAGAACAAGTCTTGGGCTGGACTTCGACTGGGTATGGCAGGAGATGCCATACTAAGGTTACTTGAAGCTTGACATTTCATCCTGGTATGCAATAGGGAACAATGAGGTAGAAACCGTCCAGGAATTTAATGGTTAGAGAGATCACTTCTTTGAATGGTACACAGACTACCTCAGTTGGCATCTTGGGCAGAAAAAGATGCATCAGAGACACCTGAGACCAGACTGGAGAAAACCTCTGAAACGAGCCAAAAAGCCACAACTAGTTGGGTCCTGTCCCTGACAGAAGGTTTCCAGGAGATAAAGAACAACCCAAACTATTCTATTATTTGATTCTATAAGAGGGTTCCAGGACTATGTAATCCACATAGTGTCAGCAGCAATGGCTCAGGGAAGAAAAGGATGGGAAAGAGGGCAAGGACTTTGGTCCCTGATGCCCACTGTTCCAGTGGGAGCCTTCACCCCATGGCAGTGAGTGGTGGCTTCAGCCAGGAGGCTGAGGAAGGCTTCCAGGGAAAGGGCTGCACAGCACAGCTGCCATGGTTTAGTGCCACATCCAGGTGACAATGCCCTTCAGAGTATCCCAGGATTCCACACACAGGTCTTGAGCAGGCAAGTGTCAAATGCAATTTTACTGGGCATAGAATGTTTTGAAGCACAAGGTTTCTCCACCTGAATTTTTCCAATCTCCATGGAAATTTTTCTATTTTTCACATGGGGATGTGAATGTCTTGAAAAGAGTTAAGATGGCGATTCTGTAATTCAAAGGAAAAAATATGGAGAGTCCTTGATCTAGCTTTAACAAGTATAACTGACATCTACAGGGCCAGTTCTTCATGGGTTAGGAAAAAGTAGTTGTAAAGTTTCATTTATTTTGTGCTTCCATTTTATCAAAAGGATGGATAAACCACAACTCAATCTGCTGTGTTTCTCCACCAGTGAAACATATCTGTACTGAAACCAAACCACTTTAATTTTTTTTTTTTTTTAAAGGCAACCAAATCTCTATGGATAAATGTTCAAGAAACAATCCCCTCCTCTCTGGCTGCAGGTCATGCTTTAAGCCATCTTCTGGACAGCAAAAAAGCATCCCTAAACAAGCCTCGCTCAAGTCAGTCAGTGTGCAGCTGCCTTGCTTGGCTCACCAATAGTTCTTCAGGAATCTCTCCTTTGCCTCTCCCTATCTTTCCTTTGTCCAGATAAGCAGAACCATCAGCACTGTAGACCACCACCACCACCAGTCACTCAAGACTACACTGAAGCAGTGCATTACGCTCCTAACTCTCCAAAACATGTCACTTTGCTGGCACATCTGATTGATTACTGAAGACTGAATACCAGTAAAACTGGCCCAAGACACACACACATTTGCTATATACCAGTATGACAGCTAGGGCAGACCTTCATTTCAGTGAGGCAGTCCAGAAATTAAAATTAACTCCTGAGCAGGAGCTGAGCAGACATTAGAGATGCCTTCAAGTTATGAATGTGAACACGGAGTATATAAAAACTTTAGATATCCACAGCAAAATGCAAACACAACTGCCATCCTCTGACATATACCAAAAACAAAAACATTGAAACGTGTTTAAATATATTTTGTGACTATTATATGTATGTTTATGTATACTTATATATATAAAAAAACCAAAGGATAATAACTCACAAGAAACCAAAGCATTTTGGCAAAAACTTACTGGATTGTTTACATTAAAATCACTAGCTAATTTGCAACTACAGTTTTAGGTGATTCAGACCTCACAAACACTAAATCAGGACATGCAAAATTAGGATAATCTGCTGGTAGTTACAGTTGTTACACTGTGTGTGAAGTGGATGGCAGCAGTAAGATGGCTTCAAGTTGTAAGACATTTAGGTATCCATGTAGTATAACATTTCTTAGGAGATGTGAGAAAGAAGGGAAAAAATATTAATCTTAAAATATTTTAGAATCTTATTGAAAATAGTATTTTAAAACCACTACATTATTAGTCCCTAAGTGCATCAGTCCTCATTCTCTGAATCACCATGCCTTAGTCCAATACTATATGAAGAACAGGAGGAAAATTCAGGTATAAACTGGTAGTGATTATCCTTGTCCATCTTGCTTATTGTTACAATATAGCTAACAGAGGAATTTATGCTTTGAGAAACCTTATTTACAGGAGTTTATAAAACAATATTGAGAGAAGATATGTGTGTCTCTGTTTATAAAATTAGCTTCTAAAAATACTCACAGAGCCATTAAAAAAAAAAAGTAAATTAAGCTTTACAATGAATATTTTGCTGGAATGGACATGACAGAAGGCAACAGATAGTGACAAATCAAGAGATATATTTTCAATAATAAAGTCAACAGGACAATACAGTTGATACAGCCCCTCTGTATAAGAGCAGCTATCCAAAACTATACACCACTACTATAAAAATAAGAGTAGTTCAAGGTTACTTCTCTTTAATGTTACTCACATCATCTTCTTTGGTTCCACCCCAGAAATTAGTCCCACCAGCATAGCTGGGAATGTTTAGCACAGCTATGCCCTGCAGACTGGGAAGGGGGATGTACTGTCCATCACACTGAAATGGATAAAAGCTCATTCAGTATACAAATAACATGACAAAAGTCAAAAGGCCAGTCCTGCAGCAGTCCCCCAAGTATGGATTTGAAGCAACTTAGAAACATAAGGTCACAAATGCTGGATGCAGGTGTCACTTTAAGGATTATAAATTTCTGGGTGAGGTTGTCTTTTAAGAAGATTGCTAGATTACCACAAATTACCAGTCCCACAGAAGGCTCTTAAAACAATACAAATGAAATGGAAATCCTCAGAAAATAAGGATGAAATCTGTACCAATTTTATCAGGAGGAGAAAGAGATGCAAAATTATTTCCAGAATGTGCTTAGTGCTCTTTTTATAATTTAATCTCAGCAACAAGACAGAATTTAACATTTTAATCACAATGTGACAGGATCCAGACTACGCTGTGATATTAATAGATGCTGCACAGTCATTTGTATTGTAGCAGAGGTCTGCCTCCAAATTCCTGAAACTGATATTTTTAATTTTCCAACGCTGTGTTGGAAATACATTTCATCATACATTTTGCATAAGGCTAATATTATGCAAGGCAATACTAAATGTGAATTTTCTACTTGCTGGTTTGCTTCCAGAAATAGTAAGAAATAATTATGGAAAGGTCAGATTTCAATGCCTTATTGAATCTTATTCGAATCTTATTCAAAAGATCCTTAAATTAGAATTCTATCTGCAGCATACATAACATTCTTTCCTGTCATTATATTTGCTAACTACTGCATAACTCCTTGATAATTACTCAATCCTTAGTAAACAGCAATCTGCTGCTACCAGTCAAAATCATTCTAAGTCTCAGGGGAGTTAGGAAGAGTTCCAGGAACTTAAAATTATTCTTTCAACTTAAAAACTTATCTTCATATAAGTAACCTGACCTTCCATATGAAATATTTAGCAGGAAATAAAAAGAGAAACTGTCAAAATCCAGCCTAGATATTCTTCAGATGAAAATAACAGTAACCACATCACAGTGTTTTTCTGCATTTGGTAATCATTTATATCTCCTTTAAGTTGCCAGTATCATGAAGAAGACTTAGATTTGATGTTAGAACTTAAAACACAAAAAATAACTACACTTAGATAATTTACACTGCATTTGTTGTTGCTGTTATATATCTTGTTTCTTTTGTGTGACTCTCTCAAGCACCTATTAGAGTTTTTGACTAAGACGATCTCTGTGGTCTCCCTATATGTGTAATCAAGCTTTCAGGTAGTTTGGAATGAACCTGAAGGATTAAGGCACCTTATTCTTTCTGTATGTTCGTTTCTGTTATTGTTCTTAAAACTAGGTCTCCCCCTTTCACGCAGTGAACATTAAGAAATACATCCTAACTATGCAATAAATTATTTAATACCACCCTCCTCCCCGCCCAGAAAAACAGTAACTACCAGAAACATTTTACTGGAGATTTTGAGATATTTAAGTACTGACATTTTACTCCAAAAAAGCACAGGGGAAACCACCTCCTACACATCACATTTTTACAGAGTGCGTCTGAGGTCAGCTTGTGTTGACACAAGAACTCTAAAAGGTTTCAAGAGGAAGCCCAAATTCTTCACTACACATTGTGGAAGCAAAAATACTCATTTTGCCCATAAATAAAATTTACCTCAAGTTGAACTTTCTGTTCTAAGTTCTTGTAAGTTCTCTGCAGCAGCTCTTTTGTGCCAAGAACTCCATACCACATCATGTTTTTTGTCCTACTTCTGAAAACACATAAAAAAACCCTCACGTTTTGATATACACACATTATTATGTCTTGTATTTGTAGGATGAGAAAATGTTAAGAAATTAAAATAAAGAGATGAGGAAAAGAAAGTACTGAAAATGCCATGGCTCTGCTACTGACAATGATATTACCTGCACTTTTCAGGGTGCTCCTCTCGCTTGTTATTAAACTCTAGCGAAATTTTTGCATCTAACCCAATTCCAAAGTAGTTGTTCATGACACATTTTTCTGAATATCCCTCCCTGTTAGAAGAAAAGAGATAATTAGGTGTATGTTTGTACAGTACCTGCACACACAGAACTTTGATTGTGGTTGATCTCAGAACAGATACCAAGAGAAGTCAAGAGATGAGGAAACCCAACAGCACTTGAAGAGACAGACTGACTGCTAGCTCCTTTGCAAGGGCAAGTTATTTCCTGTAGGGCAAAGAAGAAACTGTGCCACACCCCCATCCACCACTGTCTCTACCATACCTAAAGTAAGAGTGGGATACAATGAAAGAGATGCTCCAGGCATGTCTCTGAGAAAGGAGCGCTGCACCGGGCCAAGAACCCAGGCTGTGTTTAGACGTGCTGGTGCTAGCTGTTTGGCTGATGCTGCTGGCACAGCAGTACTTTATTTTAGGGGGGCTGTAGCCCACAATGCAGATATCATCCATAACTCTATGCCAGTGCTACACCCAGTTCTGGGAAGCAGAGACAACTTAGGACATTAAATTTCCATCTCACTGCTCCAGTCCTTATGGGAACACTTCTTCCCCCACTACAAAGTGCCCAGACGTGCTTCAACATCTTGCTCATGGTTGAGCTTGAGTTCAGGCCAGCAGTTTTGGCAGGAAAACATGGCTCCGAAGGACTGCTATTGTCCTCCTCCTCCCACAGTGAGTGAGCAAGAGGTAAGTAAGCAAATGCCTCCTATTATTTCTGCTGCTGTAAAACAATTTTGCACTATTCATAACTAAAATGGCACAATACAACCTGTTTTCAGACCTTAAGGTCTACTGACAAATGATAGCAAACAAGGAACAATAAAAAAATTGCAAAAAGGTTCAAAAAAAAGAAAAAAAAAGCTTAAGAAAAACAAACTAAAGCAAACCAGCATATTTGGAAAAAAAGTATTTCTTACAGGGAATCTGGATCTGGGTCAATGAACGGCGTAGCACCAAATGGATCGATGTTTGCTAGCAACATTTTACTAATAATTGAACTTCCTGCAATAGAAGCAGCCAGACCAGCCCGCAAACCTGATTAAAAGAAACAGAAAAGAAAATTGAAAATTTTGATAAATAGAGAAACATATATTTTCAGATAGCAACAAAATTCATTAAATCAATGACCTATTTTGGTTATCTTTTTAGGTCTCTTGCTCTCTTGAGCAGAAAAGCAGCTATGCTGCAGTGCGGTGGCAAACTTCAGGTGCCACCACTGAGAAAGAAAAAACCCAAAGAAATTCAGGAATTCAGGCTGATTTCAGGATTTCAGGAGAAGAAAAGGCTCCAGGGAGACCTTATTGTGACCTTTCAAAATATAGAGAGCTCTTACAAGAAGCACTGAGAGACTTTTCAACAGGGCCTGTAGTCACAAGATGAGGGGTAATGGTTTTAAACTAAAAGAGGATGGATCTAGTTTAGGTATTAGGAAGAAATTCTTCCCTGTGAGGGTGGTGAGACCCTGGCACAGGTTGCCCAGAGAAGCTGTGGTTGCCCCATCCCTGGCAGTGTTTGAGGCCAGGTTGGATGGGGCTTGAAGCAATCTGGTGTAGTGGAAGGTGTCTCTGCCCATGGCAGTGGGCTGGACCAGGTGATTCTCAGAGGACCCTTCCAATCCAAAGCACTCTGTGATTCTATGGTTTTAAGGTCCTGAATTTCATTTTTCATCCTCCAGAATCAAACACAACACTTCTGCTACATCCAGTGTTGTGCCAAGTGATCAGGAATCTTCTACATTATTTTGCATTTCCTGTTATATGATGCAGCACAAAAGCATGCGTGAGCAAATTCAGGGCATGAAGTAAAAATCATTGTTTGCCAGCAAGCAGGGGAACAGAAGGCAATATTAAAGTAGCGCTAGAAACAGCAGATTTCAAAATTATAACTACCTGGGCAGATAATCCTAGTGTTAAGCACTGGGAGATTTTCCTTGCTTGCAGCCAAAGCTGGAGCAGAGAAAGAGCCTGTCTGAGAATGGATACCTCGGCTTGTACGTCGATCTGGAGACCTTGGTGCAGTTTTAACTGTGCAGAAGAAGTAAAAGGCCTATTATGACATTACCAAGTACATAGTTGTTACAGCCCTGAAAATATTTCAAAATCATTAATCTAATCTGTTACCATTCAGTGACAAATATCCTTCCCCTCACACCAGTTTTTCTTCTAAGTATAGGCAAAATTCAGAAAAGAATCAAGCACAAGCACAAACTTAAAGGAACAAGTGTGCATGGCATTCAGCACGACAGGTCTCCCAAGTTATGCTTCAAGCTACTAGCAAAACCAGCATTATATCCACCTTAAAATGCAATAGCATTTAATGTTGTTGTAAGCTTCTGATAAGCATGTTATTGAGGTAATACAGATTTAAACTTAAGTTCAATCTCCATTTACTTATATATACCTAAATTATACAGTACGTTATTAATTATAACAATTTTAATATAGGTAGCTATTCTAACCCACAGGCCATGGAAAGACATGATCAACAGCCATACTATTTGCTTCAAGCAGCTAAAATGGGCCCCTGCCTGCATCACATTTCTGAAAACATCAGACAAACTTCTGACATCTTTATCTACAGCCAAGCTGAAAACTGCAAGTGAAGGGGAAGAGTCATGTTAAGACATACTTGTCTTTTGCAGGTACAGAGATGATGGGGGACATCAGATTCCTGTTATTTCTTTTTCTCACATAAAAACCCAAACAACCAAACAAAACCCAAACCTCAGCAATTCCCAACATAATTCAAATAACTTCTTTGTTAAAATTCTCCAGGAGATGCATCAATATAACCTTGTGACAGATAGCAAGGTTTGGCAGCTGATGCAACCGCTGGTGACAAAGGCTCGGGAAAAAGGAAGGGGAAAGAGAAGATGTTCACAAAGAGTAACTGGTAGCTTGCTGAGGTCAGTTATCCCTGGGCCTGCCTCTGGAGGTGATGAAGGACGATAGGCTTTTCAGAGAGCTGACTTCAGGTGCTGTAAATCACCTCCCTGCAAGGACTTGTTTCATGCTGACTGAGAGAATATCCTGTGCCTGCTGTAGCCTGGGGAAGTTGATCCTTGTGAAATTCAGCCCCATCAGATGTAGCCAGAAATTGGTGCCCCAGGGAAGAAAGTTTGGGGATTACCAAGTGTTTTGCTACAGCATTTCCATGTACATGTAGAAAGCTTTTGCACACCAGATGATCATAGACAGACACTTCTTGGCTATCTCTGCTCCATGTTATTTCAGATGTTAAAACTGCTTCAGCTTAGGACAACTTCAACCTTGAGCATCTGAAGAAGCTCAGAACAAAGAATGAAATTATTTCAAAGTGATTTGATATATTCCTCTCAAAACCTGAAAACTAATTCAGCAAAAATAGAGCAATTAGGACTAGCACCAAGAGAACAGAAGGAGAACACCAGCAGGGCTGTGGTGGTAAGGATAAAGTATGACCTTTTTTTGCGGCAGAAGGGGGACAGATCACATCAATCATGAGAGTAACGTGGGTGTACTGTACACAGACACTAATGGCAAGGAAATGCAGAGTGGGAAAATCTACAGACAAAAGTAATAACAAGAACCAGGGTTTAGAAATTGTGCTCAAATCAATTCAGGCCAGGATTCAGGCATTTATGTTTTTTTGAAGCGATGACAATCTAGCACAGAACAGTCAATGAAATGGCAAATCCTTCACGCTCCTGTATTGTAGGAGTAAAATTACACACCTTTCTGGATGACTTACTAAAGTCAAATGGAAATGATTAGACACAGGACAGGAATAAGAGGGTGAAATTTTTTTGGACCGTTTTATTTGAAAAGTCTGACCAAGTGGACTAACAGCTCCTCCTGAATTAAACATAACAGCTGTAGCAGTTATCAAAAAATGCTAGAGTACTGCACAATAACAACAAAACACAAGGATTTGTACCGGTGCACAGTACTGTAATATGTTAAAAAATGAAAACGAGTAAAAACTGCAAGTGATATCTAACAAGAGTTATTAAATATTTAGGTGAAAGTAATTAACACATGGAAAAATATTATCTGCATCAAATGACCAGGAAGATCCTCAGAGGATATAATATAATATTCAGAAAAAAATTAACATTCATTTTTCATAATGCTACTGAAAAATTCACAGCGTGGTTCACACAGTCTGTTCTCCCTGTATTTGGGAACAAGGCAGTTACATTAAATAGGAAAATCAACAGAACAGCTGCTCTTTATTTGACAGATGAGACTCGTGGGGATAACTGCAATAATGACAAACTTTTGCTGTTCATGCTCTGATAAAAACAAGAGCCCTAATGAGTAAAATTGTTGTTTCATTGCAGATAATTGAATTCATGTTTCATGCTTTGTCCCTAAACACCTACCTTCCACTGACAGCGTTAACATGTACTTTATTTCACACGTATCAGATATATGTATACCTGATAAATGCAGAAATTTATCACCAAGAACCAAGGGGTTTATATATATTTCTACATATGGATATACATATGTGTGTATTTTGTTTTATTATACATTTATGGCAATAGGATCAGGTCATCTGTAAGGCCAGAAACCTTTAGGAGCTAATGTTCAAAATGGACAATCAACAAGTATTAATTCCTATAAGCAAGGGAAAAGGAGAGGGGCCAGCGAAGAGACAATCACTGGAGAAAGTTTGACATCCATTCCTCAAAAACAGGAAATGTGAGATTCTGAATCAACAGAAGCCCCAAGAGGCTAATGCTTTATTTCGAAGTTAGGAGCTATCAACAAAGGCACCGGCTTCAGAGCAGAGCCTCATGAGGACACCACCTTTTTAGGACGTTGGTGTGGGTTAGGGTAACAGGAGGAGATAAAAGTCCCAAACATTTTACCTCCATTTGCCACAGGAAGTTGCTCACCAAATATCTAGAGGATAGGTTTTGCTATCCACCAGCTACCATTGTTTCTCCATGACTTACAGATCATCTCGAGACCTCTCTGTCCACTTTGATAACAGGACAACGACTGAAATTTCCACATATAGTAAGAAGCAGCTTTCCTAAAATTATGATGCAGTTGAGAATACTGAACCTGGCACATCAACTACCAAAATGCGGTATTGACATTTGTGATGAATAAAGTCCAAACATGACCTCTGGCTGGATTGACTTGGTGCCAACAAACCAAGAAATAGAGGAGGTAGGTGAGGGTCCCATGTACAAAATCATCCTTCCTTTTTCTACTGCAGCCCCTCACTGGCAGACTTCATAAGGGACATATGAAGGACAGATTTTATCCTGTCATTTGAATGTGGGAATCAGTACTATGCTTTTTCATATGCTTTTCTCTAAATGTCATTTTACACACAGTAACAAACACTGAATAGCCAAAAGGAAAGTTTAATGACAAAATGGGCTATGACTTTATGAAAAGGCTACCTTCCAAGCAATTTGTTTTAAACACAGATCACTCAGTATTCTGATTGCTTTGTAGAATACAACAAATAATACAACGTGGATGCGCCATCCCTGGAGACATTAAGGCCAGGCTGGATGTGCTTCTGGGCAACCTGATCTAGTTGAAGATGTCCCAGCTCATCACAGGGGGGTTGGACTGGATGCCTTCTGGAGGTCCCTTCCAACCCAAACTATCCTATGATTCTATGATTCTAAAACCCAGCATGGGCTACCCACACACTCTTCCTTTTTTTTGAGAGTAACCTGCAGAGACCCACAGTGAGGACAGAATGATGCTCCTACAGAAAAGCAGGAGCAGTTACACAGCAGCAGGTGATAGTCCATTCAACCAAGGAAAGAGCAGCTAGGAGGCTTTACACCTTGAAAAGCAATAGTAGCTTGGTACAGTGGTTTGCTGTATGTCTTGCTATACAGCATCCAATAGCCATGGATAACTAGCTGGACTAATGACCTGTATTTGCGACAATAATGTAAGGAATTTTTCATAGGAAAGAACTCTAGGATATCAAAAACTTTGGTTCCAGTTTCTGTTCTGGATTAGACAAATACCAGGGGTGACCTTAGCACTGCCATTTCTCAGGAGACTTCCATGCTCCAGTTTCTGTTACATTCTTCCTTGCTTTAGACTGTTGCCCTTCATATAGAAGACTTAAGCATTCTTTCTCTCTGTTCTCAAGGAAAGTTCCCAGATGAGACATCAGGGTTTTGTCGTCAATGCAATGAATAAATATGTCTGTTTCACATAATTTGAAACACCTCAACAGAAATGACTAACAAGAATTCCAATAATATGCCCCCAAAATGCCTATAACTGAGACATGTCACTGTTACCTAGGCTCTAGTCCCTGCTCACATCCATGTAGAAAGGTGGATTAAATGCAGACACTTCTCTCTCCAATAAATGCCTTCTCAGTTTTGTAAATACACTTCAAAAGACTGCTCATCTCATCTCCTGCTTTTTTTCCCTTAACTATTTTTTATCAAAATCTGTGACTAGTTTGCAGTGAAATAGGATGATAGTATTTTTAATTATGGAGCTGACTGTGCTCCATAATGCAACATTGCAGGTCCCCAAGGTGCTTCCTTCCCTATAAAAAAAAACTTTACGGGGGTATGATATAACAGGCATCACAAAAACATGGTGGGATGGCTCCTACGACTGGAGTGTTGGAATGGAAGGTTACAGGCTCTTTAGGAAGGACAGGCCTGGCAGGCGGGGAGGGGGAGTTGCCCTTTATGTTAGGGGAAGCCTGGAGAGTATGGAACTCTGTCTGGGGACAGGTGAGCAGTCAACAGAGAGTTTGTGGGTCAGGGTTAAAGGGAATATAGCTATGGGAGACATTACTGTGGGCATCTGTTACAGACCGCCTGATCAAGGAGAACCTGCGGATGAAGCACTCTATAGACAGATAGGAAAAGCCTCACACTCACAGGCCCTTGTTCTCATGGGTGACTTCAACCACCCTGACATCTCTTGGAAGGACGGTATAGCCCGGCACAAGCAATCCAAGAGGTTCCTCGATTGAGTGGAAGACAACTTCCTTCTGCAAGTAATAGAGGAGCCGACAAGGAGAGGTGCCATGCTTGACCTCGTGCTCACCAACAGGGAAGGGCTCGTTGGAAATGTGACGCTCCAGGGCAACCTTGGATGCAGTGATCACGAGGTGCTGGAATTTGAGATCCTCAGGACAGTGAGAAGAGTGTGCAGCAAGCTCACTGCCCTGGACTTCAAAAGAGCAGACTTTGGCCTCTTCAGGAACCTGCTTAGTAAGGTTCCATGGGATATAGCCCTAGAGGGCAGGGGGGCCCAAGACTTTTGGCTGATACTCAAGGATCACCTGCTACAAGCTCAGGAGTGTTGCATCCCAACCAGAAGGAAGTGCAGCAGGAGGGCCAGGAAACCTCCTTGGATGGATAAGGAGATCCTAAGGAAAATTCAATTGAAAAAAGAGGCTTATAAAATGTGGAAGCAAGGACAGGCGGCCTGGGAAGAGTACAGGGATGTTGTCTGGGAAGCTAGGGACCAGGTTAGGAAAGCTAAGGCCCAGTTAGAATTAAACTTAGCTAGGGATGTGAAAGATAACAGGAAGGGATTCTACAGGTACATAGCAAATAAAAAACAGACTAGGGACAACGTAGGCAACGTAGGAAGCTATTGGGAGAACTGGCTACACAGGATTTGGAGAAGGCTGAGGTTCTGAATGACTTCTTTGCCTTGGTCTTCACTGGCAAAGGCTCTGACCACACCATCCAAGTCTTGGAAAGCAGACACAGGGACTGTGAGAATGAAGACCTTGCGCCCACTGTAGGAGAGGAACTGGTTCGAGACCATCTTAAAAACCTGAATGTGCACAAGTCCATGGGACCTGGTGAAACCCATTCACGGGTCCTGAAGGAGCTGGCGAATGAAGTTGCTAAGCCACTGACCAACATATTTGAAAAACCATGGCAGTCAGGTGAAGTTCCCGATGACTGGAAAAAGGGAAATAAAACCCCCATTTTCAAGAAGGGGAAAATGGATGACCTGAGGAATTACAGACCAGTCAGTCTCACCTCTGTGCCTGGCAAAACCTTGGAGCAGATTCTCCTGGAAGGCATGCTAAGGCACATGAAAATCAACAAGGTGCTTGGTGACAGCCAGCATGGCTTCACTAAGGGGAAATCCTGCCTGACCAATTTGGTGGCCTTCTATTATGGGGCTACAGAACTGATGGACAGGGGTAGAGCAGTTGATGTCATCTACCTGGACTTGTGCAAAGCATTCGACACTGTCCCACATGACATCCTTGTCTCTAAATTGGAGAGACATCAATTTGATGGATGGACCACTCAGTGGATAAAGAACTGGCTGGATGGCTGCACACAAAGAGTTGTGGTCAATGGCTCAATGTCCAGCTGGAGACCAGTAACGAGTGGTGTCACTCAAGGATCAGTGTTGGGACCGGTCTTGTTCAACATCTTTGTCACTGACATGGACAGTGGGATTGAGTGTGCCCTCAGCAAGTTTGACAATGACACCAAGCTGTGTGGTTCGGTTGATACGCTGGAGGGAAGGAATGTCATCCAGAGGGACCTTGACACGCTTGTGAGGTGGGCTGATGCCAACCTCATGAAGTTTAACCATGCCAAGTGCAAGGTCCTACACCTGGGTGGGAGCAATCCCAGGCACAGCTACAGGTTGGGCAGAGAAGAGATTCAGAGCAGCCCTGTGGAGAGGGACTTGGGAGTGCTGGTGATGAGAAAATGAACATGAGCCAGCTTCAGTGTGCACTCGGAGCCCAGAAAGCCAACCGTATCCTTGGCTGCATCAAAAGGAGCGTGACCAGCAGGTCGAAGGAGGTGATCCTGCCCCTCTACTCTGCTCTTGTGAGACCTCACCTGGAGTATTGTGTGCAGTTCCGGTGTCCTCAACATAAAAAGGACATGGAACTGTTGGAACAAGTCCAGAGAAGGGCCATGAGGATGATCAGGGGACTGGAGCACCTCCTGTATGAAGATAGGCTGAGAAAGTTGGGGCTGTTCAGCCTGGAGAAGAGAAGGCTGTGTGGAGACCTCATAGCAGCCTTCCAGTATCTGAAGGGGGCCTATAGGGATGCTGGGGAGGGATTCTTCATTGCGGACTGCAGTGATAGGACAAGGGGTAACAGGTTAAAACAGGGGAAGTTTAGATAGGATATAAGGAGGAAATTCTTTCCTGTTAGGGTGGTGAGGCACTAGAATGGGCTGCCCAGGGAGGTTGTGAATGTTCCATCCCTGGCAGTGTTCAAGGCCAGGTTGGACGAAGCCTTGGGTGACATGTTTTAGTGTGGGGTATCCCTGCCCATGGGCAGGGGTGTTGGAACTAGATGATCTTAAGGTCCTTTCTAACCCTAACTATTCTATGATTCTATGATAAAAAGACTGCGTAATTTTAAATTATTTTAATCTGCATCTACTCACCTGATAGGGACTCAAGTTCCTTTGTATCTTCCTCCTTTTCCTCTTCTTTGGATTCATCCAATTCTTTGCTATATTCTACCAGTGACTGGTTCACTTGTTCTTCACTATGAGCATTCTGCTCATCCACAACTGCTTATTAAAAAAACAGACAGAAAGTTTCAAGATTTTAAAAGAAAAACTGCATACTCAGAAAATCAGCTTCTTTTTTCTGTAGCTTCAAGTTTAAAAAAACTAAGAAAAGGTTTGTATTACCAATTCAGTGAAAAAGAGTTTAGCAATCCTTTGCCCATTGATAAGGATTTGCTGCCAGAAATTTTTATTTTGTGGAGGATTATAGTTACAAAAGAAGCACACTTTTATATGTGCACACATGTGCATACATATGTATTCATATATGCAGTCATCAACATCCAAACAAGCTGCATTTCTTTTCCTTGCAGCTTGAAATAAGCACATAATTTCAGCTATGGAACAATGTAGAAATCAAACTTTAATAATGAAAACTTATGCTATTTAAAAAAAAATAAAATATAAACAACATTATTCTATCAGTAAGGATTAGATGTCACTGATGTGCACCTTTTTCTGCTTGTTCAATGATCTGCCTCACAGCCTTCTTCAAGCTGTTTGCCCGGAGCATTAACTGTTCCCTTGGTTTGAAGAGTTTCTGAGTGGAAGACTTTGAGACACACTCTGCTAATTGCTCTTTACTTTCAGACAAGGATTCTTCACTTGAAAATTCCTCTGCTTCTTCTTCCACAATGGGGGGAGTGATGCCTGGGAGAAGGGGAGCAGCCTGGGCTTCTGTATGAAGAGCCTGGAGCAACAGGTCTAGCTTCTCATTTAACTCCGAGCACTAAGACAAAGTGCAAAAGAACACACACAGAAAAAAAAAACAGTGAACATGTGAACATTTTCAGGAGATAAAGAAGAGATTATACTTTAAACTGTAGGTGTTTTCAGTGTCTGTGTAATTGTCTATGTAAAATCCAAATTTAGGTTCAACACATTGAAATATCAGATTATGACTGGTATGCTTGTTTATTTTCCAGACATACCCTGTGGCACCCAACCAGATTACAGCAATTACAACCAAAAACCCCTACACTCAGATTAAAATAACACACCATGCTAAACTCAGCCTGACACATAACTAGGGTGCAGATTAGATCTTACTCCTCTCCCAGGGGCCTGCAGCACAGAGAACCATCACAGATCTGCCTACACTATGTATTATAAGAAATTATAGGTGCCCAGTACCCCAATTTGGAGAGATAATCTGTGAGTACATGCCCAGCTGTTAGACTGAGACACGTGAGGTTGTTTTTGCAACACAGCTGTACATTTAAGCAAGTAAGTTGACACAGAGCAAAGTGGCTCAAGCCAGAACCAAACACCAAACACCTCAAACACCCATCACTAAGCAGTTGCTCTTTCCAGGTACACTGGAGAAGAGGTGATTTTTCATGTTTAAGGGAAAGGAAACCAACACTGTCTGGCCTTGGAACAGTAAAAAAGAAAAGCTCAGTTTCTAAAATGTGCACTGAATAGAAATGTGAACCACAAATTGCCATTTAGCGAGTACGTTTCCTGACTCTCAGATTGGTAGTGATTTTGTTTTCTTCTCATCCTTTTCAGCTCATGTAAATTTTGTGCCTCATACCAAATCCTTTTGTTGTTTTGAGGTTTTCTTTCCAATGCTTTCACAACACAATCTCTACAATTTGCAGCTTAAACCATTATTTTTAACACTGTTGCCTCTCTTCCCTACATTCTCCCAGCATACTCTCTCTTAATTATCCCATTGTTTTATCCTAATGCAAAATATTTCCTTTTGTCTCTATGTACGTTGCCATGAACTTTATCCTTTATGAAGGAAAAAGTATAAACAGCATTTATAGAGATCTCAGAGTTTAAAGCTGGCCTAGAAATAACTGTTCTATGCAAGAAGAAAAGAGGATTTTCAAGTCATTGGTTGAAATGAAAGCCAAGCTGGGCATCCTGGAGCAATTTGAAAATTAAACACCTAAGAGCTATAAACATCGAAACCCCACAACTTTAAACCAGAATACAGTCACAGTCTTACTTTAATGGCCATGGCATCAGCTTCCTCTGCATTTTCCACTGGTTTTTCATAAGTCTTCCCTATTTTGGCAACAAAGTCCTTTACAGTTTCACATAATATTCTTCAGATAAAAAAAGGAGAGGAGAGAAATCAAATGAAATAAAATAGGTACGTTTTGAATATTACATTATTTTGGCAATTTATTTATATGCACACTGCTGTACATTATTTTTGTTGGAAACTGGACTCTGTGATCATACTTGCTAAGCTGATGATATTTGTTTCCATGGCTTGCAAAATTCAAGTGATAAGCTTTAACACAAAAACTCTTCCTACCTTTTATTTAAGGCTTTGCATACATTGTATCTCAGTCTCTTATTTCTAAGAACTGAAAGCAACGTGACTAATTCTGTCCATTCTCTTGCTTGCACACCTTCCATACCAGAGGAATTCGCAAACTTGCATTCACTTTGATAACTTCAAACACAGTCTTGCAAACTCCCACACAAAGTTAAAGCCTAGAAACCATGGAGAAAACCTACTGCTTTCAGTGGAGTTCTTCTTACAAACATCCCACTGCACTGCTTGTGCTTTTGAGCCACAGCTGACACCGAGGCATATCTATGCAAACTACAGCGGCTGCAATGAGTTTTCATTGTGTAAATCAGAGAAAGACTTGGTTGTTATTACCTACACTGCAGAAAGACAGCAAACTTACCAACATGGCGTGGATAACTGCTTAGTGCTGTTCATTTTGTTGAAATTTATTTGACAGAAATTAAATAAGATTAACCAGATACAGACCTAATTTAGAATCTGGAGTTATAATAGCATCCTGAAGTTTCATTTTCAACACGTGCTACGTATACTTTAGAAACAAAATTTTATTAACTTGCTTTTAGGAAAAAAGGAAGTGATGTAATGACATTCAGATGTATTTTTTAAGATTCTACCACTGCTCTTTAGCATATTGCAAAATATAAGATTATTTCTTTTTCTGCACAGTGAAGGTGTACACAGAATACTTCTGATCTCAGATGATATCCATAATGTGCCAAATAATTTTCATTTTTAAGTGCTTCAATTTGGAGAAAAGAACCCTTTTGTCTGAGATCACTAGTGATTAAATTGACATAGCTATGACAAAGCTATCTAGCCTGAAGTTCTACTTCACGTTGAAGTTGTTTGTCCTCTTAAAGATATAGATAAAGCTATGCATAAAGCAAAACACAAGAAATGTAATGTGAAGCGATCAAATATTTGCATTAGTAACAGTAAATTTCATATATAAGCTGCATGCGATGTGGAGTGATTTAAAATCACTTTGCATTACGTTATTTTTTAAATGTTGATGTGTTTAGTATAAAACTATACATTACAATTGTGCCATATGAAAATTTTGCAGAAAAAGAACATCCACTCTAAAAGGTATAAATCAAGATAGATTAAGGCAAGCCAGCTGTGCCAGACATAAGAAAATCAGGCTTAGACAGAAGGTTATTATAGTGATGATGTTACACAGGGGATTTATTTCACACATGGTACATAAAACAGATCAACTCACTTGGCAGATGATATAACAACGGAGTCCTGATCAGAATTGAGAATTTTTGCAAGATGAGCAGCAACTGAGTCCTCATAAGCTGATATCTGAAAACAGAGAAAAATGACTTCAATTTCCCCACGTTTCCAGAGTTTAACACAAAAGAGTAAGCTTAAACATCTCCAAACCCAGCAGGATTTCCATTTCAGATCTATTACAAGGACATGCAGCTGGCAATGCAGATTTTATCTGTATACTGTATTTTATGTACCAGTTTTTTTAATATTCAAAACAAGAAGACAAAAGTAAAATTCCACCTGGCACTCCTCTGACTCTTCTGCAGTCACTGGAAGTATAGAAGGCTTTGCTGGTAATTTCAGTTCATATGACATTATACTCCACCTGAAAGAAACAATGGCTTTTAAGTTTCCAGATTGTTAGTTTTATTTTTCTCCAACATAACAAAAAGAAAAGTCATTGTCACACCACAGAATATCGGTTAAAAAAAAAAAAGGCATCTTAATTTTTAATTGTAAGCTACTTATATATGGATACAATAATTGAGATTAATGGTAACAGTTGCTCACATTATTTGTTAGTGATTTGATGATGAGCCTTATTTGTGAGCAAATCAGTGGATATTTAATGCAAGCAACAAATTTTGTGATAAAACATTCGTAATATAAAAGAATTTGTGGAAATTAACTACTGAAGTCAAAGGAAAATAGACGTGTTTCTAAAGAAAAAGATATGAGGTTACATTAGTTTTTCATCTCAACTAGGGGAGGCAGACATGAGAACAAAGCAAATGGTGCACTATCTCCATTGACACATATATATATTTTCCCCTGGTAAAGGACAGTACTTTACAGCATAGATAGTATGAAACTGCTAATGGCAACATCCATCAAAGCCTGCTGAAAAGAACAAGTTATCACTGAAGATGGCCTTGGGAGCAAGTCTACTGAAATTTGAGCAAAAACCCAAACTGAGCTTTTTTTTCAGTACACACAAAGGCAAACATGATTTAATTTATTAGTCTTTCAGAATGCCCAGGCCAACAATTATTTCTAAGGTTCAGTAACAAGCAATTCTCTACATACTTTGCTGTAAAACCATCAAACAATCTGCAAAAAAGGACTTGTTTCTCTATTTCATATTAAAAACCCGAAAATGAAATCGCCTTTAATGACATTCACGTGTTTGCAATTAGAGCAAGCACAGAAATACTCAGAAAAGAAAGGAATAGGGTAAGAAATACTCTTCTCATAAACAGTGTTAAACATTCATTGGAACAACATGACCATCATCCTCCCTGACTTTTCGTAAATGGGGATTGGTCTTTTGCTGAATGGATGGAAACCACACAAAAAGAATGGAAAGATCTCTTGGTTTTGACTAAAAACCCAGAAATATTAGTAGTAGATCAAGCCAAAGATGCCGGTAGCATCTTGCCCACAGCTGATGCCTCAGAAAATTATATGAGGGGTGGAAGCACACGGTCTGACTTCTCCCCATATCCAAGGAAAGATTGCTCAGTGGTTTCTCTCCTAAATAAAGATGTGACTTTTAATGGCACTTAATAACATGCATGGAGTCCATAAAACTGCCGCAAACGGTTTTGAATCAATACAATTTCTTAATGCTTACAACTTCTTGTAACAGGCAGTTCTGCAGCTTCACCAGTTATGTAATAAACCATCACCTTTTGTTCATCGTTGGACAACACGCTTCCTACTTTCACACACCACTCCTCCCTCTGACTCTTCAGTTTAAAAATGACACTACTATTTCAGCTTCCCTAATGATTATGATCTGCACCCTAAAAACCAAAACCACTGAAGACTAAGTCTCTAAGACAGATTTAGGCCATCAGACACCCAAATAAATACAATTGGAATCCCATGGTAAATCAGGTATATGCACATTCAAGTTTACCTGTCTAACATTTTTGTGCTGGCTCGTTCTAGTTTTTCCAAAATCTGAGGAAGTTGTGTATCATCATCACAGGATCCTCCCCAGCCAAGGACACGAGCAAGGTCATTTCCAGTACCAAGGGGTAGCACTCCTAACTGACACTGAAACACAACACAGGAGCAAATCTACTAGTGAAAACTAGAGAGAAAAAGTACAAACTCTCACAAATGCTTGTTGCTCCAAGCAACAAATGTTAATTATATAGCTGATGTCTAAAGCTTGTAAATTCAATTGTACAATCCAAACACAACTTGCCCAGTTTACACCAGTGAATATTTTCGTTTAACAGTAACAACTGATTTTGGACCATATACAGACATGACAAAGAACCAAGTCAAGGAAAGGTAACCATACAAAATTAAGGCTGATCAGTATAGTCAAGGACAGTAATCATGCACACTTGCCTGTTTGTGCAAGCTGAGTTTATCAATCTCTGACAAGACCCAACCCACGCTTCCGTCGCCACCACACACAAGAATCCTGAAGTTGTCAAACTTCTGAAATAACCGCAAACTGCAAAGAAAATACAGCTTCTTAGAGCCAGTAACATCCATTACTGAGAGAGCAGTCATATTCATTAGCAACTGTTACATGAAAATGTGGTCCTTTCACTGCTCTGGGGTATGTGGATACAACCATCTACTTAAATAAACCTATTTGCATCCTAACGATTGCTGTATATTCCACTTATACTGACATTTCTGATAAATAACATGCCAAGTTCTACTTTAAAAAATTCCCTTGATATTGTTTTCAGGATTTTATTAATGTTATAGTCTTCATTTTATTAATGTTTTTTAAAAAATCTAAGCTGTGAAATTGCAACTTCTCTATGCTTCTCACTTCAGCCAGAAGCACAAGGCACCAATGGGGAATTTTCAGAAAAGGTAAAGACACAAGGACAGGATGTGCTCCACAATACAGGTGGGCTTTGCCAACACGTGACTAACTAAATGCAAGGACTGTTGGAAGCAATTGCTACACATAAGGTGATCACAACAACATAAACCAAATAAGACAAGTATTTAATATTAGATCCTTAAAGCCATATCCTGCTTTCACTTCCTCCTGTTCTCTCACTTGCAGCACCTCCAGGATGCAACACTTGGGCAGTACAGAAAAGGACAAGAGAGACAGAACAAGAGGAAAGGTGAGATACAGAGGAAAGGGGAATGAGATGTGAAGAAACAGCCAATAAGTAAAAACAATGATATAAACTTAAGGAAACACCAACAAAACAAAAGAATCATAAAGTATAAACTCTTAAAATAATAAAACCAAAGACGTTTATTCTTAACGCATGTTATTTTCCAGAATATGTATAATGTCTCAACTATTTCTATAAAGCAACATATTAAGATCACAAATATTTGAAGCATTTATATTTCTTCTAAGAAAATAAGTGTCACTTCTATATGATAGGGAGATACCTATTCAGAACAAAAGATGCAGATATTCAAGGAAAAAAATGTTGATACCAAAACAATTTCTCCTAACCTGAGAAAAGGGAGAAAACACTTAAATATACACTGGCTCAAACAATGCAACTCTGCCTTTTAGATCATCTAGGAAAAAAGAATACATCAGCACAACCTGATAGAAAAACTGCTAAGGATTTCTCTTTGGAAGCTGTTTGGGAAAATACTTAAAAGCAACCAAGCTGACCTATAATCATAGGTTAAAAAAACAAAGCGAGCATCCTGAACCATGCTGCTGCTCTTAGGTACAACTATATAAAACAAGAGAACTTGGAAACAGACATATTTTTCAGACTGTCCTCTGTCATAAATTGCCTCTCCAATTTAGATGAACTTTTTAATGTCAATTTAATTACATGTAAAAACTGTTAGCTAAAAGGGATTCAGATTAAATTCAGATTATCAGTTGTAACTCTAATTACAATTTAAAGAGTTAATATAGAATCACAGAATCATAGCATAGTTAGGGTTGGAAAGGACCTTAAGATCATCTAGTTCCAACCCCCCTGCCATGGGCAGGGACACCTCACACTAAACCATCTCACCCAAGGCTTTGTCAAACCTGGCCTTGAACACTGCCAGGGGTGGAGCATTCACAACCTCCCTGGGCAACCCATTCCCGTACCTCACCACCCTTACAGTAAAGAACTTCTTCCTTATATCCCATCTAAACTTCCCCTGTTTAAGTTTTAACCCATTACCCCTTGTCCTATCACTACAGTCCCTAATGAAGAGTCCCTCCCCAGCATCCCTATAGGCCCCCTTCAGATACTGGAAGGCTGCTATGAGGTCTCCACGCAGCCTTCTCTTCTCCAAGCTGAACAGCCCCAACTTTCTCAGCCTGTCTTCATACAGGAGGTGCTCCAACCTGTCCATAACACAGTATTGAGTACAAAACTCCACAGCTGTGCTCCATTATATCTGTATTACTGTCGTGGTTTATTGCCCACTGTTAAACTGAATTTTTGTGCATGTTTCATCTACACTTTTAGCATGCAAGCACAATTCTGCATCTTTAAGAGTACAAAAGTTAGTGTTTCTGTTTCCTGTAACTGATATTATTAGGCCATTCAGTCACAATGCTACATCTGAGTGGAATTAAGTGAGGTAGCAGAAAAATGTGCATGAATTTAATCTTTATGAATGTGCAAAGATGCTTGGGTTGTGGCCACCACTATGCAAATTTTACCCCTATCTCCCCAACAATCAACCCTTAGGTTTTGTGGAATGCCTGATGGTTTTAATTGTGTTCTTGCTCCAAATTCTGTGAGATGCTAATTTTCTTGACCATTTGCATATGTTGCCTAAACTATATTTCGACTGTAGTTTTCAGATGACAGAAGTTTTACTGTACCTGTCCATCACCCACTGAGGACTCCCCCACTGGCATTTGTGTTCAGAATTTAAAAAAAATACAGAGTACATTTAGACAACAGTTTTATTCCATATCTATTCATAACAAATTCACAGGAAATATCTGAATTATGCATATGATATGTAAAAAAAGCAGCTGGGCAACTGTAGGTAAAGGCCCTGATTCAGGAATTCAGATTCAGGAAAGCATCTCAACATTTGTAATGGTTTTGAGTCTTACCAGTTAATAGAAGTCAAAGCCAGCCAAAAAGTCACTAAACATTGGGCTGATAGGTTTTGGTTTTTAATTTTAGCAATGCAGGGACAACACAACACTATACTTTGCACTAAATTCCCTTGCAGAAAGGATTGCTCCAGATTTCCAAGGTCATTACCCTAAGTGAGGTCCTCCATTCATTAAATCGAACACCTGAGCTGGATTTAACGACTGTTTGAATCGCCGAAGAAACTTTACTCCCTGATTGTCTCCACTCTTTGAGTTAACAAAAACTAAAAGAGGACTGGCACAGGATGGCGGGCATGTGGCTTTCCAGAAACCTGTGAACATAGTTAGAAAGAATGATATAAATAAAGCTTTCTAATATGAACAACATAAAAAGAAATCATGGGAAAGAGGAAGAAAGGGATGAAGGACAAAAGGAGTACATTTTATCATGCATAATGTAAACTCTAAACTGAATATCAGCCCTGCAAGGAAAACATAATTGTTAAAGATCTACAAAAAAGATTTTTTTCTTTCTGGTATTTTCAGTGCCTAAATTTAGTAAAATCCTGAAGACAATAGCTTTATTGTTTTTCCACAGTGAAAAAGTTTATTAACCTTATAGAATACTTCCCAAATCTCACCTTCACAGATTATCACGTAATTAAATATATATTTCAGTCATAAGTGTTTGGTTTTGAATCTGATTTTTCTTTAACCTTAGGTTGATCTGGATCATCCACATCTGTACGAGCATTCTAAGAGTACTCACAGATTTTAAGTTACTCTACTCAGTTGCTCCAGGTAAGACTTTGCATGAGAACTTTTTATTCCAGGCTGAAGTTACACTATTAATTATAATAGAATCATTGAACAACAGGCTTTCAGCTGTGATTCAAAGCTTAGCAAAGTCAATGCAGGTCTTAACTAATTACTGCAGGATTTCTATAATGTCCTTAAAAAGTTGTACTAATGGACACTGTTGCCCCTAACATAACCAGTCCATGGAAGCAGTGGTTTCTCAGCAACACTTCAAAATCAGACATTGCAGATATAGGCTTTGACATTTGATTCAGGCAAAGTTAAAGTAACAATATTGTTTTCAATTACTAAAAAAAATAACTAAAGCTATAAATAAAAAGAATGGCATTAAAGGATGCTAATTTAAATCCACATTACCATAATGTGCAATTCAAAATAAGGTTTGATTAATTTATTTAAATGCCAATAAAAATTATTTCACATATGGAACAATCTTCCTAAAATGAATAATAAATAGGAGCATGATGTTCTGGTCTAAGACACCACATAACAAGTAAATGGAGTGAATACATACAGCATAAACAATCACTTTTGCTAACTTTATACAGTAAAATTCATTAAAATTTGATAAATTGTTTGGTCTACACTTGCCATCGACACAAACCATAAAATTAAAGCTGTTAAGATTTCATGATACTCCTTATGAAATCCGCTCTCTGCTTTTAAGTGCAGTCTCTGCAAGTCCAGAGCTACCACTCAACACACTGCAATACTACGTACCATCAGAGTCTATACTGTTTAGCGCTGTTGGTGGTATGATCGATACCTTACATTGACCAAGTGGACATTTACGAGGATATAGATCTTTACATGCAGTGTGAACCTACAAAAGAAACAAAAAATTACTTCCCTACAGTGGAATTACAGGGTGAAAGTATAGATTCTATAATAACTATGTAAACAAATGGGCTAATATGTAACATTTAGGTGTAGAGGGAAGAGGAGAAAACTGGGAAAAAAAGTCATGACAGTGTTCATCCACAAAGGCTTGTTACTTGTTCCACAAAATACAAGTTTGGAGTACATCACCGTCAGCTACTCTTATAGTAGACATGAATCGCTCCTTCAAGGGAGTCATTTACCTCCACCGATGAGCAAGGGAGGGCCAAGTTCCCAGCAGCAGTCTGTGCTGGGGGCAGCAGGCACACTGCACACATGCAAAGCAGTAGCTCTGTATGTGCCTGGTCCACCTGGCTCTTCTGGAAGACCTATCTTCAATAAAGCTAGCAAACCAACCAAGCCAGACCAACCCACCAAAGGTGGGTCCCATAAACTGTGCATTATAGAACTCTCTCCCACAGTTATCGGAAAGATAGGCTGCACTTCACTTAAATTTCAAATTGCCTCTGGAGATGCCAATCATTTCCAACTGCCTACATGCAAAGCCTCAGACAAATATATGCCAAGAGCTTCAACAATAAAAAAGCTGCTAGCTGCTAATTTTTCACTTCTGTACCCTAGCATATGAAACCCATCTTTATAGACAACTTAAAAAAACTAAGAGAAAACTGTGGTGTGGGGAAACAGCAATAGCATGTTATAGAATTTCACTCAACAACCTACAGAATGTCCTGAAGAAGAGAACTTCAAGACTATGCAGTAATAAAAAATTACTACTTTAATGTCAATAAATATTACCTATATTACTAAAATACTATTACAGCAATATCTACAGTAAGAGACAAGAAAGTAGCATAAGATTAGCAGGCATACACAACAGGCATCTGAACCTTCAGTTATCAGTTAGGAGAAGGCAGAGAAAACACACTGGATACCAACACCTATTAAAGCAAAGCTGCATCTGTGGTAGTATTAAAAAACAACTGAGAAAAATAGGACAGTCACAAGAAATTGGGAACATTAGAAAGACCTGAGTTTGCACAAGCTGCCTGCTCCTAGTTAATCCAAAAGCAGGTTATGAAATGAGAAAATAAAAATAAGGCAATAAAGCGGGCAAAATCTTAAACACTTGGACTTGGCTCATTGCACCTACCATAGCTTTACACCAAAGGCACTTCCAATCTTGCAGGCGTAAAACACTGCCACAAGTCTTGTCGCAAACTGCGCATTTGGCACTGACGGGCAGATTACCCTCTAACCACTGGTGAGGCATAGCTATCTGTGAAGAAGTAGTCATACAAGTTAAATACTCAAAAGTTAGAGGCTTTTGTCCCTCAAAAGTAGGTGTATTTATTTCAAGTATTTCCCACAGCTCATCATTATCAAAGATGCAGGTATAGCTGACCAGGGTAAGTGACACTGATGCTCACAAGACAGCAGCTATAAATGTGGCCTATGCTGGTGTTTCACATGCTAGGCAGAAAATATGACAGCTGAAGAAGGGAGACACATCTCATTCAGCTGTTCATGGTGCTATGCTAGAAACTAACCGCAAAACAAGGGGCAGTTAAGTCCAGAGACTCCCTAGTATAAATAAGGACTTATGTTGACTACATGACAAAAATCAATTAAAATAACTAGAATTCAGAATAGGCGGGACAACAGAACATCTCTCTGGCTTTACTCCTTCACCATGGATGGTAAGTCACAGCTCTACAAAGCCTAGTACACTCTTTGTCCCATTAACACCACAGGCAACTCAGTACCCTCATAGGTGTGCAACTTTATACTAACCTTCTAGGAAGAAGTTTCACACCAGTGGCACATACATAGTTGTTTGTAAAAATAACCTATTAAAAAAATCTCTGAAAAGCTTTTGGCATTTCTCCTGCTAATCTTAAAATCCCTGCTTTCACCAGTAAAAAAACTCCACATGACAGTGAATTCCAAAGAGGCCTCCAGGGAACAGCCATCAGTAAGGAGGACACAAAATAGATGGCCAAAACAGCATGGCAACAGTATAAAATACCACCTTTGCTTAAGAGCAGTAGGAACTTCTGGGAGCAATTCTCCAGCTTCTGAGTTTTTCTGCATGTGGCCTTTAAGATCTCATAACACGGTTGCTATCTAGTGCCCACAGATACTATATTTGTCCTGTGAGACAGGAATATAACTTTTGTCTAAATACCATGTAAATCTTTGAAAAGTGCTCAGGAACACAGCCACCTACCATTAACTTCACTGGTTCACATGGCAATATGTCTATGCTTAGCCTCTCTCTTTTTTTTTCCCATCAAGAAGAAAGAGCTTTGGAAAATACTGCACATATGAATAGTACTTACACCATCTTCATCTTCAATGATATCTTTTCCAATTGAGGCTAATGTAGTCCATTTGCAGTTATTCGTTGCTCGGACAGCACATCTTTTATGTGCTTTAAACTTACACACTGGAAGGCACACATAAGCACATATACTATGTTATTTGATGTATTTCACTGATACATATCTTTAAAAAAAAATTAAACATAGATAGTCCATAAAACAGCCAAATACATGTCACTTAGTGTTGCACACATGACACAACCCGACTAAGAGAAAATTCAGTTCATAATCACTCCGGCTTTAACTCTCTAAACTGGATTTAACTGCCTATAGTTGTAGCCTATGTGTGTCCTCAAATCCACAGTGGTCCCCATTTTTTCAGGTGTAGTGCAAGGCACAAAGGTACAAATACATCTTTAACTTTATTTATTTTTGCCTCTTCTATTCCTCCAGTGACACAACTGAGATACATAGTTCAAATTTGCAAGAAGTGATGGGGTACGTTTTCACAGAAGTGTTTTACTTCAGGAGCTCTGTTTCTTTGCTTAATGGATCCCGTGTGGGCACCGTGCCATGCCTGTTTTCCCAGAAGCTGAGGAACTGAAGGATTAGATGGTGCTATCTTTACTCAGGATACTGGTAGTTACAACATTTTCCAAGAGGTTACATTAACTGAGGAAGAGCCTGACTCCTTAATGGATTATTTATTAAAAATCTAGTAACTGGAATACTCAGCACAAGTGTGTAGTATAGTCAGACATTTTGACAATCTAGTAACTATATGTATTTTGTTCAACTCAATTAATATGACCAGTTAATGATACCATATTAGATCAAATAGATTGACACACCCAACTGTGGGTATTTCTTTTAATGGAACTGCATGACATCATTCTATTTAGATCGCATTATAGAAATTATTTTGGCAAGGGCCATTAAATGTTTATGAGAACTAGCCAGCAGACCAGAAGTAGTAGTCTCAAACAAATATTTGACAGGAAACTGTCAAAAGCTTTGGCCCATCACTTGTCCACCATTAAAAAACATTAAGCCAAGGTACAAAAGGTCTTATGAATCATAAATTTCTCATTCCACTGATCCATTGCCAGATCAATTTAAAAAGTGAGTTGAGACTAGGTAAGCAACAATCTGAGTCTGAGAGCAATCCTCACTGTTCTGGGAGATGTGTGAAAGTATGTGCTCAGCTCAAAGAAAAAGGAGGCAACAGGTTTTTTGCTTTTACAATAACTCCTCTGCTCATTTAAAAAAGCAGCAGCATTCATAGACCCAAAGTGTGCAAATATCCCATATACCTCAGCTAGCGGGGTAGGCTCATATTTTCAAAACAGCTCAGCATCATATTGTGCATTTGCCAGCCCACTGCGTCCCAGTCATGTATCAGTCTGGTATCTGAAACCTTTTGGAAACATGCAGTCATACTGCTAGACGCCAATTGCCATTACTTCACCAATGAAAGTTAAAGGATGAGAAAATTAAAAATGGAGCCAAACCAAATCTAGATTATTAGGACATTATTTAAAATTTTCATTTCCTGTGTAAATGTTTTAGCTGGAATATGAAGCAGATCTCTCAGAAAGCCAACAAAAGAACCACTTCATTAGCAAACTCTTGTCACAGTGATACCAACATATGCTGTCAGACACAGTGATTAAATCTAGAGCTATTATTATCTACAATGAAGAAAAGTCAACATTACTGAACCTTATCATAGGATCTATTGCACTGAAAATATATATATATGTTGCCTTTCTTATAGAACACTTCTCTCTCAAAGACCTTTCATTCTAACCACCCATCAGTTAGTAAGACTATGCTGGCAGGTCATTAGTTTTTTTTCCCCCAAAACTACTTTTATGATGAGTTTTCTCTTCTGTGTTCTTCAAAGAAGAACTGGCTGAGACTGTTCTTTTCCAGCTTCAAAGGCCAAAGCCAAAGGTTTTGAAACTGATCCAAAGATCCTTGAGCTGGTAGCTATAGTTACATTGTCAAAATGGAAGGATTTTTCTTCAGGTATTCCAAGAAACTTGGTGTTTTGTTTCGAAGAATACTATCACATTCTATGATGGACAAGTCACAGTGAAAACAGAGTGACCCATGTGAAAACAGCAACCTAACTTCAATCCAATTTGAATCTTATGCCTATGTTATAAAGGATAAAATTCAGCAGTGTCTTGGCAGTTTTTACTATTTTCACCCAAATAAATAACTCTGTAAGTTAATTAGATATTAGAGTGGTAAAAGAATACTCATACTACAAAGTACTACAAAATTATTACTTATGCAACTTAACTTTGCAGTATAGCTTTGCAATATAGTTTCCGTACCCAAGTCTTCAGTTATATGATTATACACTTTTTGAGAATAGGACCCTCATTCACTGCATGCACTGAGTGGTCCTTGACAAGGATGCAGCTGTGCCATACTGTGGTTCATAATAATTTTCAACAGGTATTTGCCTTATTTACCAAAAGCTAATGAAATACTGCTTTTCACACATCATATTAATTTCTTCCTGGCCTTTAAAAATTACTATTATTTTATGCACAGCTTTTCTGACATACAGGTCCCAGATTATAACCAACACGCGACCACTGATTTGATCAGAAATCTTACTTAAGTGATTTCTCCAGGATTACAGAGCGGCACAGTGTGATACAAGGTCACAGATCAGTGTTTTCTGTTATTCCTCAATTCTTTAATAACCAACATCCTTTCTCTTCCTGACCACTTCATTCACTCTACACTCTCCTGCCTGTGCAGAAAATGTGGCAAATATCCTGGAAACAATGACAACCCAAGTAGGGGATACACAGTAAGTACCCTGTACAGTGGGTAAGAAGAACAGGGTTTTGTGGGCAAAAAACCCCAATCATGATGAAAAAAGACCAAGTACATGAAGTGCATTTACAGTCAAGTTAATCCCAGTATTTTCTTATTGCTTGCCTTCATGATCTTAAAGTGTTCTTTCAATGTTGATTGGTTGTGAAAAGCGTCCCATTTAAACTGCAAGCTCCAGCTTATTAGGTATATTTGATATTGAACAATCAAGGTTCAATCATGATACTGAAAACACTGCATGAAGGAATACATCTTTGAGAATAATCATAAAAGCAGTGTTCCACTGGCAATGACTTGGATAGAAATGTGGTATTAACACAGAGTAACTGAGGCTAGAGAGTTTTTAAAGAGTTTCTGTAGATAACGAACCTCAGGTTCTTTATGTTTCTTTACCTAAACATTCCATATATCCCTGTGTTTACTTGATAACTAATTTCTCTGTCCTATTAAAAACTGTGGATGACTGTTGTGGAAATCAGTCCTTTAGAGCTATCTAGAGCGACACAACACAGACTACATTTGAGAAGTAGATTATATTTTGAGAAGACACAAAAGAAGTAACTAGTGGGAGGAACAGCACTGCATCTCAAAGGACTGTATGATTAAATGCTTTAAAAGTCAATTGTTTTTTGAGAAGCAGAAAGAATGAAGCCTGGTTTGATATGAATTTACATCTTTAGTTTGATATATATATTGATTCTTTGACTTCTAAAAAGCAGGAAGTTCACACTACAGCCTTTTCCCTACCAAGGGTATTAACATACTCTCTACACCAGCTTCCACAAAACTTACAGGAGTGTCTTCAGGGTGGCCTGCAATTAATTTGATCAAACTTTGTGAAAAGGTTCTGGGAGGGAAGGTGCCCTGAAAAAAAATAAGGCACCAATCTTATCTCCAAAACAAACGAAGCTTGTTGTGTAGTTAGGCTGAAAAACACAGCTGTGTAGTGCTGCTGGCAACCAGCAGGTTTGAGAGAATAAAATACCACAGGACTGATTTTTTTAAAGTAGCATGAGCTGCAAAATATCAGAAATGGGACTGATTTTTATTTTTGCCTACAGTTAACAGTCAAGAATTAGACCACAAAGAGTACAAAGTCTCTAAACTACTTTAAGGATGACTTGGTGTGCCAGTAACCCAAACCACTGAGAGGAAGAAGAGCTCCAATATCTCTTGAGAAGAAGCCTCTCATGCTTCTCAATACAAGACATAATAGAGTAGCCTCGGATCAATGACCACACAAATAATTGAATTTAGTATAGGTATAAATGGATTCCCAGTGTAAAGCAGTGCTGGAGGCTTCAGATGCCAGGCATGAATATTTAAACAGGGTTTTTTTAAAGCTTGCAATGAGAGAAAGTAGCACAGAACATGTCTGGGGAATCTTAAGACTCCATATTTCCTATATTGTCTCCCCAGACAGTGTATATTGCTAACACAGGGCAAGTCAAAAAAATAGATGGTGAAATGCATTAGAAGTGCAAACGGCAGGAGCAAATAAACACGAACTCAGTCCCATAAGAATTTCAGAGAAAGAAGTAGTATCAAACCAAAACACAATTCTTAGATGAAGAAATTAAGGATGGTAAACATGAGTTTTTACAGGTATATAAAATCATGGACAAAGTATGAGTATTTCAGTCTGTCAAATGATTCAGATTAGATGCATAATTAAAGTTTTCCTTTTGTTTCAAAAAACAATTGGGAAAAAAGAAGAAAAAGTAGATAGAAGTCATAGCTAAGAAAGAAAAGGAGGTAAACCTATCAAAAGATAAAAGAAAATCATAGTATCTACATATAAACCAATCCAGGTCATACATTTCTATGAAACTGTGGATCAGTGAAAGCAAATCCAAACTACTTTCATGAGCCATTTGGAAAAACTGCTTAAAGATCAACTGGCTTCAGAAATGTGGATAAATATAGTACTAGTTTGTAATAAGTTATGCAGAAATGTGACAAACTAGATAACCCAGAAAATTATGAACCATGACCATTAACAATGGTATTCTTATAAGAATAATTCTTGTTAAACAGCCTTTTTAAATAGCTATAATACTAACTTATGGAAAGATAAATTCCTTATGAAAGGAAAGAACTCTTTCATTTGCCTGAGCAAATATAACTATATTTGTACACAGAGGCAATACAACTGCATTTTAGTTAAGCACATGATACTTCTATCCGCCAATATCAGACATTGAAAATACCATAATTGCCTTAAAACCATCCAACCGACTCACACACAGTGGAAAATACACACCAGAGTAGCTGGAAGTAACTACGCCACTTCTAATTTCTACGAAATGGGTTTGTCTCGTTCCTTGGCAACTGCACCATTAGTGACATTAAAAGCATGGACAATTCAGGATAGTGGGTTAATGTTTCCTTCGTAAGATTTCCTTAATACACATTATTATGCTCAGACCTCAAGTACTGTAACAGCATCAATAACAGAAATGCATTTGCAGTTGAGTAACATGCATCCAAAAAATCAAGTTTCGAATGGTGTAATTGTCATTCTTTTCTGGACAGTTAGCTATTTTGGAAATTTAAAACCTCTACATTGTATATATATTTCATGGTCATGGTCACACGTGCTTTATTTTCAGATGGATTTCAACACAAGACTTGTTACTACTTTTTCACAGAACCTGCAGCAGAAAATAAAAAAGCTTTTTCAGGCTTATTATAAATATTTGTTTGTGAAATATCATTTATCCAGATAAACTTCATGTTGAAGCCTCACCCACGGATCCTTCTTCTGCGTGCTGGATTTCATCTGTTGAACCATCAAAACACAAAGACATCTACCTACATCTCTACCCCCTCGCTGCATGAGACACTTTTTAAAGCACTAAATCTGTCCACATCTGTCCTGCCTGCACTTCAGAATCAGGCATCAGCAACAGAGCAAACAACAACTGGAGGGGAAGAGGTCATAGCATTGAACAAAGTGTTAACATTTTTGATGAGCAAATGAAACAAATCCTATTTTTTCTTGCAAACCATCTACCCAGCACGTTCCAAACTAGTCACTGCAGCAGAAGGAAGGGCTTTATTGACAAGAGTTAGAAAGAGGCATCTGGAGCATGAAGAAGGTGAGCCAGACCATTAGTAGTCCCTCTGCCCAAAAGAAAGTCACTCTAGTGAATAAATGCCTCCCTTCAGGCTATTTTCTTACTCATTTTCAGAATCATTCCTCATCAGCCATCTGTCTACATGCACAGCATTATAAACAGGGGAAAGAAAGTGTTTCTTTTACCTTCACAAGACAGGCCATGAGAAGTGACTCCAGAGAGGCTCTCTCTACACACGTTACAGAAGGTAGGTCGGGCATGGGAGCAGGCGTACCAGTTATGCATCCCTGAGAAATGTTCCACATTAAACTGTGCGGTCTAGTAAAGGAGAAGTTAAGACAAATTTGCAAGTACAGAACACAGCTACAGTGACTGAAATTACCTATGGCTCCATTATTACAAGGGAATGACAATGCAATGTTCACCAGAAAGTATTTTCCAAAGGGTATTTAGCCTGTTCTCCCTCCAAACTTCTAAGTAGAAGTGTGATAATAGGCTGTCATTTCACAAGTAAAGGTCTTAAGATGCAGCTTCTCTCTGACATTAGCCACACTTTTCACACTAAGGCGGTTGAATTCTCCAGTTCTGTGTCCTGTAGCTTTATCTGTTCAGCTAGTACAGGTCTCACCAAGAGGAATGTCAACTTACCTCATAGTGTTCCCTGGACTGAACGGACTTCAGAGAGCTTATCCAGTCCTCCATTTCTTTTCTGTTCTCAGCACACAATATAAGCCTCCTAAATGGAGTGATTATCTGAAAAAGAGAACACATTCCGAAAAATCCAGATAGAGAAAATCATGATAGGCTATAATATTTCAGGTACTCTTCCCTGTGAGATGATGCAAAAGGAAGAAACACCCTACCTCATAAGATACCAAATGCTTAAAAATATTCTCTTTAATAAACTACCAACCATGAAGGAGTTTGCTTTTCTTTTTTCAGTTCCCAAGATTTAAATCAGGCTTCAGCGTAGGTCTTTACAATCTATATTGATCATTCCTCCTTCTCAGCTCTTTGTCTATGCACTGAGATTTAAATACTCAAATGGCAGGCACTTAAACTGCTAAAACAACTGTTCTGGAAATTACTAATTGACTAAAATTGCAATCCTATTTCTTAACAGCATTACAGCAATTGCAAGGTTCATGACAATTGCTAGAAACAAAACCACACCAAAATCAAAAGCCTGGAAGTCTTGAAGAACAACAAAAGTTTTCATAATTTCTCTACCTTGTATATTGATATTAAATTTATACTAATTTAAACACACATAAATTCAAATCAGAACTTTCTATATAAAAGTCAAAGAACACATACAAATCTTTATAAAAAGACACAGAGAACTAAAGCAAACAGCTGAAATCATATCCTACTTGAATTGTTGAATGAATTCCTGGAACAAGTTGATGCTAGGGAGTTTTCAGTGGTCTGCAGCTGGATTCTAGAAATGTGAAAATGCTGTATCTCGGAGGTTCAGAGGATAAGCTAGTTTCCCCTCTCCCTCACCAACAGAAGAATAATTAAAAGAACAGGAAGGCACCAGAAACTATCAGCTAACTCCCACTGAAATTATTTTGAGCACTGTACTAAAATAGACAAAGCAGTTACTTACATTGCAAAGAATCTAAAACAAAGTAAGTATGTGAAATTGAAGGAAAGCTATTTGTTTTGTTGTAGGATGTCTGAAAAATAAGATTAAATCCTGTCTCAGTCTTATACGTAAGCCTATTGCATAGCATGTACCTACCAAACTTGCAAACTACTTCAGTAAAACAAAGCAAGGACCAGAAAAAATTATAGCTCTGAGTACTGTTTTAAATGCTACAAGCTAGATACTGTAACATTTGCATAATATTAGTAAACACTTATCTACAGCTGCATTTACTTACCCAGTCTCTGCCGTAAAGTCTCTAGCCTTGATATGTCCTATCCTTCTTCATTCAGCTGAGCTGCACTTTAACATATCTCAAAGGCAACGTAACTGAAGTGCAGCAAGCTGCAAGTCACATGGAAGAGACGCAAAAACCCTGTGGGCTTGCATTTGGTTATTTCCTTTTTTTTTTCCTATGTACTCATTTCACATGGAATGGAATACTTTCTCTGTTTTCTATTTCATTCAATATTGCTTAATCTTTTTAATAAGGTTTATTAGTAGCTATCCACAGCTCTTCCTAAAGAACAGTTACTGCAAAGAGCAATGCTTCTCTCATTAGTTTGGAGCCAAACAGACGCTTTATTACTTCAAAATGTTTTTCTAAGCCAGGTCATCAAATGAAGCCCAGAAAAGCCATTAAATCATAATATAACCCTGGCTCCAACAACGATCAGCATTCTGCTGGAATTTCCAGCTTTCCATGGACTGAGAAATCTTATTTGGGCAAATACACCCACCAGATTATTTGCTATTATATAGCATGACTTTATAATACGGATTAAGTAAGGGCAAGTCCGCCCAAAATTCTGCATTTTGTGTCTGTCCTTTTCCCATGCTCGTTACTGACGCTAACCTGCAACCAGATGTTGTGAAATGCCGCTAAGCAACAACAGCTGCATTTATTGCTGAAAACTCCTGACAGTCTTGATCTTTCCAACTAATATTTATTTGTATCACTCATGTCTCTACTACTGCTGATCAGAGAAATCCCTTGTGTGCCTCCACTTTCCCCTCCCAAAATCAAGGCCTTAGTTCAGTTGTTCACACATAGTTATCTAGTGCCAATGGGGACCCCCTTTGGTATCCAAAGCATCAGGATGGGGCAGGTAGGTATGACAAGAGGACCATAGCACCCAGAGCAGCAGCTTTAAATAAGCCACGTGGGACACCAAAGGCCATCCCAAAAGGTGCTACGCACCCATGTAATCAAATCATCTCACCAAAATTGCTAACCAATGCATGTAAACATACAGAAATTCCTATATCCCAAATTCTTACTAAATTCAGAGCATAATAAACTTAATAAAGTTTAAGAGCATTTCAAGAAAAGAACATTTCAAAAGTCTAAAATTTAAATTATATACTAATGAACAAATGAATTCAGGATTAATTATTACTAGTGCTATAAAGTGGGAAGTTGGAAGACATATTTGTAAATACAGCATCTATAATGTGATGTTTAAACTACATATTCACTTTCATTTACGTATTTTTAACAACAAACATCAAGAAAGAATATGGTAACAGAAAAAAGACAACAAGCATTATGTGCAAAAAATATCGTCAATGCTTTCTACATATCTTAAAAAAAAAAAAAAAAGGAAAGAAAAAGAAGACAAAGAAACTAAGCAGTCCATTTAGATTCTCATCTATTTCATTCTGCTAAATCAGGAAGATGTACTCTCATTAATTAGGTATTTCACATAGCATAAGAACTCAGGGAACCAAGGAAACAATTGGAAAACAAGTGTTTTTGCCTAAATGTACTGCATTATTTAGCCTTGAATGGTATTCCCAAAAGGTGTTGAGGACACAAGAAGTATAAATGTCTAAAAAGGTACCTGACAAATTCATCACAAATAGATGCATCATGTGCTATAAAACACAATATCCAAAACCTTCAACTCAGAAGGTCCTCAAAATCCAATGAGTGAATGTTGGGAAGTTATACAAGAGGAAGAATCACTGTACATGCTCTGCTGCTTACACTTCTTTCTTGAGTACCTGCTACTGCTGTCACAGTACTTTGACTCATTATGGTTTTATGAGCTTTACACTAACTCAGTATAGGTGCTCTTGTTTGTCCTAAACTAAGAGTGGCTTCCTATAGCTTCTTATTTGCATTTATTCAGAAGGCATTCTTTCCAAAGAATGCTCATGGAAAGTTATGATTAACTGACTTTTAGAGTGCATTTATTAAAGACAGTTTAACCTGTATGCAGACATAAAGAAAACCCTTGTTTCCAGGTATGTAAATTTGGATTTTACTAGTAAAGTTATCTCACTGCATGCATTCATTCAAAGTCCTGTATCTTTTCTTCTACCAACCAAAGTCAGTGTCTTTTCTTCTATAACAAATTAATTACTTTTTTCTTAAATTACTTCTTGCTGCCCCAGGTATTCGTAGAATCATAGAATAGTTAGGGTTGGAAAGGACCCTAAGATCATCAAGTTCCAACCCCCCTGCCATGGGCAGGGACACCTCACACTAAACCATGTCACCAAAGGCTCTGTCCAACCTGGCCTTGAACACTGCCAGGAATGGAGCATTCACAACTTCCCTGTCAACCCATTCCAGTGACTCACCACCCTAACAGGAAAGAACTTCCTTCTTATATCAAATCTAAACTTCCCCTGTTTAAGTTTGAACCCATTATCCCGTGTCCTATCGCTACAGTCCCTAATGAAGAGTCCCTCCCCAGCATCCCTATAGGCCCCCTTCAGATACTGGAAGGCTGCTATGAGGTCTCCATGCAGCCTTCTCTTCTCCAGGCTGAACAGCCCCAACTTCCTCAGCCTGTCTTCATACAGGAGGTGCTCCAGTCCCCTGATCATCCTCGTGGCCCTTCTCTGGACTTGTTCCAACAGTTCCATGTCCTTCTTATGTTGAGGACACCAGAACTGCACACAATACTCCAGGTGAGCCCTCACAAGAGCAGAGTAGAGGGGCAGGATCACCTCCTTTGACCTGCTGGTCACGCTCCTTTTGATGCAGCCCAGGATACGGTTGGCTTTCTGGGCTGCAAGCGCACACTGAAGCCGGCTCATGTTCATTTTCTCATTGACCAATACCCCCAAGTCCTTCTCTGCAGGGCTGCTCTGAATCTTTTCTTTGCCCAACCTGTAGCTGTGCCTGGGATTACTCCGACCCAGGTGCAGGACCTTGCACTTGGCATGGTTAAACTTCATGAGGTTGGCATCAGCCCACCTCACAAGCGTGTCAAGGTCCCTCTGGATGGCATTCCTTCCCTCCAGCGTATCAACCGAACCACACAGCTTGGTGTCATCGGCAAACTTGCTGAGGGCGCACTCAATCCCACTGTCCATGTCAGCAACGAAGATGTTGAACAAGACCAGTCTCAACACCGATCCCTGAGGGACACCACACTGAGCTATTGACCACAACTCTTAGCATGCAGCCATCGAGGCAGCTCTTTATCCACCAAGTGGTCCACCTACCAAATTGATGTCTCTCCAATTTAGAGACAAGGATGTCATGTGGGAGAGTGTCGAACGCTTTGCACAAGTCCAGGTAGATGACATTTATATATTTATATATATTTATATTTCTTATTTATATATCATTCTGAATATGCTAAACTCTCAATAGACAAGAAGAAATTGTATAATAGAATGGCAAAGGAAGTGCCACAAGAACCACTGGAAGACCACTGAGGTAAAAGAGTTTTCTTTTACTTCAGAGAATAAGAAAACTCTTAAATCTTGGAGGAATTCAGGTGCTAATGGTTCGCACGCTGACAAAGCAGAATACAAATCAAGAAGGATGAAGACAGTAAAAAAGGCCTTAAAAATAAATAAATAAAGCAGATTTAATTTAGAAGATTAAGTTACTTTGAAAATTTTCACTGTTAGTTGCCAAGAAGAAGTCATTGCTGATTTTGGAAAAGAAAGTTGTCAAAGCCAGATACTGCAGCATATCGGAAAGTAATGAAACTGAAGTAGTGGGAATACAAACCTCTTTTAATGCAGTAGGCATATATAGTTTTGAAAGTTGAAGACAAACAACAAAAGTCCTAAAACATCATAGGAAATAAAGAATGTCTGGATAAAAAGAAAAATAGCTCATTACTGTGATAAC